CCTTTGAGCTGGCAACAGGGCAATAACCTCGCACCCCACAGGAGGTGGTAGTACAGAGGACTGGTGGAAGGAGCCCTGCAGCATACAGGTATGCCCGTTCCATGTAAGAGATGGGTGGAAGAGGAGCAAGACAACCTTGCCAAGGCTGCCAGAAGGATGAAGAAGTATGCAAATAAAGGGAGAAGGCCATTAGAGTTCTAAGTGGGAGACAAGGTTTTATTGAAGTTGACTCCACAGATTTGGAAGAAGATAAGTAGCAAGACTGTTCACAGAGGGCTGGTTTAGAAGTATAATGGTCCCTTTGAAGTTGTGAAGAAAGTGGGGAATGTTGCTTACAGATTACAATTACCTGAGAGACTGAAGGTCTATCCTACTTTTCATGTGAGTTTCCTTAAGCCTTTTCATGAGAACACTGCAGATACATCAAGACAGCAAGCTAAGAGAGCCCCACCTGTTATTCAGCTGCAGTTTAATAAGGAGGTGGAGAAGATTTTGTCGTACCGGACCCAAGGTCAAAGTAAGAAAAATCGCCGAACTGATTACTCGGTGCAGTGGAAAGGATACAGTGAAGCAAAGGCGAGTTGGGAAAGGGATGTGACATTATAGCAGTTAGAAAAATAGGTTAAGGAGTACTTGGACAAGTTGACGAGAGCATCGACTTCTTCTGGTGGGGGTGGTTTGTTAGCCCATTGACATTTGTCCAAGGGAAGACATAGGCATATCAAGGCTATGCCATGTCTTGGGAACACCTTGTCTTTGGTTAGACAGCCATGAGGATGCTCAGTGGGCTATTAACATGCACAGGATGCTCAACGTGCACACAAAAATGCTTAGAAGGATGCTCAGCATGCATTGGGGGTGCACAGTGGCATTTTCGTAAATATGGCAAAAAGTGAAGTTTGGAGTTTTGGCTCGAAATCTTTATGGGAGGTACCTTGAGTCCATAAAAGATGGTTGGTGCAGACGGCACTTGATTTAGATGTCGGGAAGGGCCTGAAAGGTCATTATGACTCCTCAAACACATGTGATGTTTACTATTGTCTGAGTACTGATATTCCTTAGAACTATACTAGGGAGGGGTCTGTTGAGCACATCAGTTGGGCTATGGCATGGCTTGCTTAGAGGGCTTAGCCAACGTGCATGAGCACGTGTTGCACCATTCCTAGATGCTTGCCCAAGAGGGGAGCATCCAAACTATTGAAGGGCAAACAAGTATGTACCGACGCGCGCGCGGGAGTTTAGGAGGGCGCGCGGGCAGGCGTCCAACACGATGCGCGCACGGACGTGTAACGGCGCGTTTATGGGCATGCACCCAAGCGTGCACTTGGGAGTGCACACGGGTATGCATGGCTTGGCACACGGTGCACTCTGAGACATTTATATGTGAGTGCAGATTAGTGGGCTTGGCATGGGCTAGGTTCACAAGGTTGGCTCAGATGTTACTTAAAGCATGAACCACACAAGTCATGGCTTATGGTTATGAAAGATGGCTAAGTGGGCTCAGTTGGTTGGGGGCAGTTGCTAACACTTCCCACACATTATGGGGAGTGGGGGTGTGCTGAGTAACTTCCCATGCATGTGGCACAGATCTGAGGAAACAACACACAGGCGGTTGGGGTCAGTTTTCCTCCACTATGCTGATATATAGAAGGTGGCAGATAATGTGCAACTTCTTGTGGGTAGGTGGCATGAGCAAAGCATGCCAACAACCTAGCAGTTAAGCTTGGCAACTGCATATGTAGTGCTGGCACACTTAGAGGGTTCCAGCACAACCCTAGGTGGATGGAGGTGTCATCAACCACTTTAGTGGGCAGTTGTGGGCAGTTTTGAGAGTTTGTCTATATATTGCTAATATGGGTTCTATAGAGGGGAAATGGAGAAAGAGACACATAGTGTGTTGAACCGTGGTTCCTTGTACGAACTTGTGTTCCTTTGTAGTATGTTTAATATAAGCAAAGGTTGGGGCTTGTCCATGTAAACTGTGTGTGCCTTCTTTACATTTCAGTATTGTGTGTGTATTGTATTGTGTGTTGGCTATGACTTGGTAACCCCAAGTGCCATTACAGAGGCAAAAATTTGTGGTGTGATTTAACCCTATAACACCAACCCACTTCCTTGTTTGTAACATTGAGTTGACCTATCATCCCTCTTTTTTAGGACTTGTTTGGAGTACTAATTATACCCATTTTGTGGCTGAATTATATAGTCAGCTGTTACTATATAATTCTGCCATATGTGAACTTCTGCATTCTTCCAAGTGTCAGTTGAAATATTACACATTTGTTATCTGCCGGACCACACAAGTATTGGAATTTTATTTTCCTTTAATGAAGCTCACGTGTCAATCTATTGTTTGACCATGATTTTGGTCCACTTGTCTCTCCCTCATTTGTGCACTTGGATGACAAAGTGGCTACCACTTAGGTTGCCATTTTTGTGTGTCAACATCTTGTAACAGTGCTAGTTAGTTTTCTGTGTTATTTGCAAATTCTCTTGTGGAAGTTTTGTTTACAACTTTATCTAAAAGCATGAAGGGAGCCAATAAAGGCCGGGGGACATATGCCTCCTCAACTTTTAAAAATTTTCATTTTTGCATGTATAAATTTTTATAATTAACTCTCCCCTGCTCCAAATTTTTATTTATTTAGTACATTGTAGCCCTTGAACAAAATTTCTGCTCTGTTCCTTTCTAAAAGACATGAATTATTCAAAATTCTATTAATATCAATTTCTTTTTTTCTCTGATGTATGAACGATAAAGCAGAGTTTTTCTATGCTAGCGATCCATCTATAAAATAGATTCAATGTCATATGATGATTTATCAAACCATATATTTAAACAAATAGATCCAATGTCATATGATGATTTATCAAACCATATATTTAAACCAAATAGATCGACAACATAAATTTTTTTCACAATCAACATGATTCTTCTTTTGCAAGTACAATCACCAAATTTATTTTAAGGAGCACTAGAGATAACATAACACATCTTATCATTCGATTGACATAGTTCAACAAAATACATAACCAATCCAAACTTTCAGGCTTAGCAACTAAGAAAATATGAAAATTACTTAAAATCACAGGCAGAGACACAACTTTGTGTTGCCTTTAACCATTTTCACCAATATTTAAGGAGCCTTTATTAAGGACAAGACAGAGCATATTATTGTAACCTCATTGAATGCAAATTATTATTGACTAAAATACCAGTAAAATGATATGCTCCAATTTACTTTAGCTTTGTACCTCAATAACTGAATCAGAAGAGGAAAAGTCTTTGCTTCTATTTAGTACTCGTGACACCTTCCATGGAATCCAGTGATATTCGCCTACATAAGTTATATTGTTAAAATAATAATAATAATAGGGTGAGTATGCATGGCCTTCATGTTTGTATAAATAAAAGCTTGAGTACTAAATTAATCTTCAAATTTTTTTTTTTAATAAAAATGTATGAAATGGCAAATTATGACTAATCATGGCTTTTGTGTCAAATTTTTCAGTACCATGCTTGGCTAACCACTTTGATTGATGGGTCTATTTCCTTATATTTTTCATATATAACCAATCAAAAGTGTTAGATAAACCAATTCACTTCAACTCATTGACTTTAAAAATATTTTCCAATAATTAATATCCATACCGTGTTGTAGATATGTTGTCCCGCTGCTGTCCACTAGGAGTTCTAAATGGACCAACACAAGGTATTTTAGTTTGGAATGGCTTAATGTATACTCCAATCGAATCCAAACGTTCACCCACCCTTCCAAAGAATCCAACAATCTTGCCCGCAGTTAATGGGGTCATAAAATGACTTCCTTCTTCCTTACCATACGGTCCATATTGCTTAATATTGCTGTGTAATGTAAGTGATTTCACAACAAAATATGTATTAAGATAGTACCCACAATACCCTGATATTGAAACGAGGTACTCGGTAGGATAGTTCAGTTTCACCTGTAAGATTTCAATGAACAAGGATAAACTTAGTTATTATAACAAATATCGAAAAATGACAAACACATTAAAAAAAAAAAAATGGTAAAGGTCACAACCAAGAAGAGTAAGAAGATTTTTGTATGTTAAGATATGCATGGATGTTTATGTGGATTGTGGAGTTATAAGAAAGACAAATACTTGACAAATATAAGAATCACAAAGTATTGATTTGTAGTATTTTCATTCATTACAATTACAACTGTTCTTAACGGATATTTGTATTTTGAAAGTTATGAATGATGTGGTATAGTCCGTAATTATTATTTTTATTTTGTTCATTGAAATGTTATATTATCTAGCTAGCTTGCTTTCACAAAAATTGAGAGGTATGACAAATATAAAATCAAATAAATTTGTGCATGAATGGCAAATTTGAAAAATCAAATTGAATACACACACACACACATATATATTACCCTGATTGGTTGTCGGGCTCAAAAACCATGTTTGTTTCCCCACACCGCCTTTCCTCTATTATCATAGACAACTTGGATGGATTCAATTTCCGGCCCAGCTGAGTATATAATTATTTCCCTTACAGCGCTATAGATTCCATCATTCCACTGATTACCAGGTTCTGAAGAGCCATATGGCCCAAAAGTAACTGTCTGACCATTCGCCATGGTGGCCTAAAAGGTCTAGATATTAGTACTTCAAGTTTATATAAGAGTAATTAGATCAAAAAGTGATATATATATGTGTGTGTGTGTGTGTAACGGTCCTTATGCTTGGTGTAGATGAATTTTTTACTCACCAGTGTGCAAAAGATCATTTCTGTATATGTATATATATGTGTGCAAGAATGCAATTCAAGAAAAAGTAGAATGAAATTATTCTTTGCTGAGAAATATGGATCCTTAATTAATGACCAGTTACTAATGGAATCAAGAATTAAGCATTTAATGATGTGCATGGGTAGAACTGTAAATGAATTTAGTTCTCCCTTTTATATCTGCAGGGCCGGGCGACGTTTTAATAGTTTAAAAAAGGGTTACAAACAAAATATACAATTTTATGAGAACAAAAAATAAAATGAGATAGGAGGGAGGTGGAGAGTTTGTAATGAGTGAAAGATAAAAAATAGTTCTAACACTTAAAAAAAAAATAATAATAATAATAATAAATAAATAATAAATCATAATGGCATTTTTAGTATATAGTATAATATTAACTTCTTCTTCTTCTTCTTCTTTTATTTTTTATTTTCTTTTTTTTTTAAAAAAGCAAACATATAGGGTCATTATCCACAACTTGGGTGGAATCAATAACTGATCTGGAGTATAAAATTAATTCCCTTACCATGCCGTAAGTTCCATCATCCCATTGTTGTCCACCAATAGTATTGTAAGTTCCATCATTCCACTGTTGTCCACCAATAGTTCCTAATGCATTGTAAGTTCCGTCATCCCACTGTTGTCCACTAGTAGTTTCAAATGAATGGTTAATTCCTTCATCCCACTGCTGTCCACCCGTAGTTCCAAATGCATGATAAGTTCCGACATCCCATTGTTGTCCATCCGTAGTTCCAAATGGACCAACACAAGGTGTTGTAGTTTGGAATGGCTTAATGTATACCCCAATTGAATCCAAACGTTCGCCCACCCTTCCAAAGAATCCGACAATCTTGCCAGCAGTTAATGGGGTCATAAAACAACATCCTTCTTCCTTACCATATGGTCCATATTGTTTTATATTATTGTGTAATGTAAGAGATTTCACAACAACATATGTATTAAGATAGCACCCACAATACCCTGATATTGAAACGAGATATTCGGCAGGATAGTTTAATTTCACCTGTAACATTTCAATGAACAATAATACACTTAGGTGCGACAAACATTGAAAAACCATAAACACTAAAAAATATGAAAGAATAATGTAACGTTCACAATCAAGATCGGCAAAAGGATTTCACTACATGAAAAAAATGGAGATTACAAGTTTTCAAAACCACAATATTTTTTCTCTCTCAAACTATCTATTTCTTCTTTTAGTGTTTTGTCTAGGGGTGGCAATTCGTATTCGTAGATCGTGTTCGTGTCATGTCGATGTAAGGGTATTATACTAAATAGGTAAACCCAAACCCAACCCATTTAATAATTGTGTCAAAAATCTCAACACTAACCCAACCCGTTTATTAAACAATTAAACGTGTTAACCCGTTTAATGACCTGTTTATCAAAATGAGACATTTAATATTTAATCAAATACTAATTAATAGAAAAAATTATCATAATTAACCCAAATATTCAAAATAAAAAGAAAAATCCTAAGGCATAAATAAGGTTTATATTGAAATGACGTAACTATTCATCGTAATTCGGTTTAAACAAGTAACATATTACAAAGGTCATAATCACAATTATAACATGTTGAGTTAAATGGATTATAAACGGGTTACACGAGTTGAATTTCTCAACCCTAACCCAACACGGTTAAGCAAACGAGTTAATCGTGTCGACCCTTTTATAACCCAAACCTGTTTATGCCAAACCCAAACCCTTTTAACCCATGTCGGATTCGTATCGTGTCGTAATTGTCACCCCTAGACTTTTCTCATGCCACCACAATAGAGGCTCGAATCTGGGTCCATGATCCCCAAGATAGAAATGGGTAAAAAAAAGTAAAAAAAATTAGAAGCCCAATAGTTGGATCAAAATTGGGTTGCCACAGGACCCAGTACAAAACAAAATTTGGGTCACAAGTTACAGATTTGTATATTAAGATATGTATATACAGTTTTATGTTTGTTAATGTGGATTGTGGAGTTCTAAGATATGTATAGGTAAATCATTTATATGTAGTGACAGAGTTGAGATTCATTTCAGGGGAGACTTAATGCACTTGATGAAAAAAATATATATATCAACTAGCAAATCAAAAGGCAAACAAAAAAAGTAAAAATGAAATAAAAATCATTGTAAAATAATATGTTAATAAAGAAGTAGTATAAGAAATATAAATACTTTACAAAGTATTGATTTGTAATATTTCTATTTTTTGTTTTTTCACAATGTAATATTTTTATTCGTTATCTATGTTACATTTGGCAACTGTTCTAATTTTTTTTTTTTTTTTCATTGGTTTAATAAGCCTCAATAAATTTAGTGATGCATAATAGTCTCAATATTTGGGGTGGGATATTGAGTGACGGTGCATTAGACAAGATTCAAATAGTATGTCAAACATTCACAAAAAGGTACAGAAAAGAAAATTTGCACAAAATGAGTTCATAAAATTACAGGAATAAATTTAAATAAAAAAAAAAGGTTACAATACATACATCATATATGAGTGCAAAAAGAAGAATCTTAATTAAGAAGAAAAAAAATAAATAAATAAAAAACTTAAGGCAAAAGAAGAAGAAGACGAAGAGATAATAAAATGAGCGAATTTTGAAAAGAAAAAATGTAGGGTCTGATTGACGGAGGAACTATAACTTTTCTACAAAGGAACTAATAAGGAAAATGAAGAATAAAAAAGAAGAAAGAAAAAATTGAGAGATATGTTTAGCAATTTAAAAATTTATAGGCCGGGGACATTGTATAAAATTTATCATAGATGTATATATTGGACGAGGCTAGGACAAGGAGGCAGGTGCCCCGAGCCTACATTGGCTCCATGTCTGTTTATATGATACGATTTGGATCTTGCCTTTAAGATAGCAGATATGCATATATGTTTAATGATTTCGATCTTGTCTTTAAGATAGCACATATCGAACATTTGAGTAGGCTTTAAATTTTCCAAGGTTTCATTTGGTTCGATAAAAATACAAAAAAAAACAAAAGGAAACAAAAATTAAAAAAATAAAAATAAAAAAAAAGTGATTTTTTAACATACATTTGACTAGTAAGAAATTTTTTCTGCCCTGATTATATAAAATAGAATATTAATATAATAAATTTGTGATCAACTGGTCCTTCTATATATACCCCCATTGTTTAGCTAATTGTTGATTCCTTATTTTTAATTTCTAATTGACCTGTAATAAGCTTCATGAATAAAAATGTATACAAGTTGAGAAATTTTATATTTCAATAATTTTGTAAATATATGAATGAATTTGAGTATCATGCTATCAATAACTAAAAAAATAATTTATATATATATATATATATATATATATGTGTGTGTGTGTGTGTGTGTGTGTGTGTGTGTGTGTATATATGATGAGTAATGATCTCTTACTCCCAGTGGAGCAAGAAAATTATTCCGCACTTTCTAAAGTAACCATTAAAAATTTAATATTTTTAATGATCACATTCTAAACCCACCTATATGATTTCATTTCAATACACTATTACTATTTCTAGTTTCTAAATTTAATATTTACTAATACTACTGATTAAAATAATAAAAGGTAAGTACCAAACAGATAGAACTAAAAATAGTAATAGTAGTTTTGTATCATATAGGTGGGTTTGGAATGTGACAATTAGATTACTTTAGAAAGTGCCAAAGAATTTTCTTGCTTTACGGAGAGCAAGAGATCATTATTCTCTCTCTCTCTCTCTATATATATATATATATATATATGATATATGGAATTTGTAAGTTAATACAGACCCAACAAACTACACTACTATTTATTTGATTTCCAAATCTAATGAAAATCAAGTATCAAGTAAATCCATAGGAAAAGGAAGCCCTTGTTGGTGCCTAGTTCTTTCATGCCCAATAATAATAATAATAATAATAAAGAATGAAGTTATTGGGTAAAATAGAAACTTTAAAAAAATAGCTGCTTCTTTCACTTCCACGTTAAAATTTAATTTCGCACGTTTCGTGCAAGAAATGTTTGGCAGGAAAATAGTTAGGCTGCGAGAATTCTGTTCCCCTCAAAATTTTGTTTTTCACGCTAACCAAACTCTTAACAAATTTAATTTAAATTTTTTCTTTTTTTCAGTTCTTTTCTTTTCTAGCTACCTTAGGCTAACCAAACGAACCCTAAAGTTTATGCCATAAGTGAAAGAGGATTTGATAATTGATATAACTTCCGTATTAGATTTGAAACTTGAAATTCTAATGGACTTATTTATTAGAATTTGTGTAAATCGTTTTACACCGAGTTAAATTTTATTTCTTCTCTCTTTTTTCTTTTTTCATAATATGCATGAATAACGTGGTGTAGTCTGTAATAATTTATTTTTCTTTTCTTTTATTATTATTATTATTATTTGAAATGTTATGTTTTTCTTTCACAAAACATGAGAAGCATGACAACTGTAGAATCAAATAAATTTGTGCATGACTGGCGATTTAAAAATCAAATTGCATATATATATATATATATATATATATATATATATATATATATATATATATATATATATATATATTACCCTGTATGATTGTCTGCCGCAAAAACCATGCTTGTTTCCCCATACTGGCCTTCCTCTATCATCATAGACAATTTGGATGGATCCAATTTCCGGTCCGGCCAAGTATATAATTACTTCCCTTACCGTGTTGTAAGTTCCGTCATTCTATTGATTACCAGGTTCACGAGAACCATATGGTCCGAAAGTAACTGTTTGCCCATTCGACATGTAGTCCTGATAAGTTTAGTACTTCAAGTTTGCATGAGAAATCGATTAGAAGAAAAAAAAAAAAAAAAAGAAGGGATATATATATATATATGTGTGTGTGTGTGTAATATGTGTGGAAATCTGCAATTCATAACAAAGTAGAAAGGTATAATTCTTTGCAGAGGAATACGGATCCTTAACTAATGAACGAGTTCCCACTGGAATCGAGAGGGAAGATTTTAAGAATATGCATGGTAGAACTGCAAATGAAATTGTTCTCCCTTTGATATTCAGGCAAAATTTGGGAGACAAAAAGTCGTATCACAACTCTTTTATATTCAGGCAGTTGTGTTATTTTGCTATATTTGAAGGCATTTTTGGTATATAGTAGAATGTTTTTAATAGACGAAAGAAGGTTAGGATGACGACGATGACCACTCAAAAATAGCATTGGTGGAGAAGATGTTTTCTTTTTCTTTTGATAGCTGAATATGAAGAACAATTACTTATTACTCACCTTGCTATAAAATTGCTGCTGATATGTAACTTTTTGAGGATCAATAGAGAAACATAAAACAAAAATAGAATAGAAAAAGGTTGCAGATGTTATAGCTAAAAAGATGAATACTTACACACCAAAAGAGAAGAGACCGGAAAGGCTGTCCGATGACTCAGATATTGAAGTAAATTGTAGGTAGAAATGGAAGAAAGAGCTGTCTAGAACATTAGTTACTAGAGGAGTCTTGAAATAAAACAGAGTGGGCATGGCTATATATAGCAAAATGCAAAGGAATCATAAGCAATTTTCTTTTTCATTTATTTATTTAATATTATTATTTTCTGGTGATAAAATTGAAATTAAAAATTAAGTATTGAAAATTTTAAAAGTAAATTTTTATATGCTGAACTTTTTAAATGGTAATTAAAAAATAAATATTACTTTGATAACTTTTTAAAATGGTCGAGGAAAAGTTCATTTAAACGACGTGTACGGTTAGGTTTGAAAAAAATTGAAATTGAAAATTAAGTACTAAAAATTTTAAAAGTTGATTTACTAAAAAATAAATATTCTTTTTGATATCTTTTTAAATTTTTAGCATTAAACACTCGGTGATAATTAATGTCTTTGTCATTTAAAATAATATTTCATTTTAAGTGGTACTTACCATCATTCAGAATTAAGCAATGAATTGAATTATCAAACAACATTAAAAGGGCGGAGCTAGGAGCGTCCAATATTTTCCAAAATTCTTCTTTATGCCTCCAAATTATTATTATTTTTTAAAATGAACATAATAACTATTCACCCCAAAACTAATATAAAAATTTTATTCGCCTCCCAAAAAAAGCTATTGTCAAAATCTGCGTGGGCCTTGCTTTTATTGGCGATGCTGATAAGATGCCATGCTTGGCTGGTTTCAAATTCAACTTCAGACTTGGGCCACCAAAGGCCCATTTCGAACTTAATTCGTGTATAGCTGTATTTTTGTCTCTTTCTTCATTTTTCTAATCTTCTTTGTTACTTTTTATATCTATTCGGGGTTCTCTCTTATAATATAAAGGATTGGACACTCGGACATATCCGACCGCACTCATGTAACTGTAGATTGACTATAACACGATGTCATCATAATTGATCATTTAATTATGACTAATGGTATATTTAATCACCGAATAAGACCCGAAATTGTCACATCATTTACTCATTCATTATTTGAAAAATTATACCATTTAAAAAAAACTGTTTTACCCTCAAAATATCATCCAAACTCTTCCACGTTTTCTCTTTCTCAAATAAATATCTTTGTGTTCAAAATAGCTCTCTCTCTCTCTCTCTCTCTCTCTATATATATATATATATACCTATCGTCTCATCAATAAGTATGCAATGCCTCTCCATGATCTACAATCTTTAGTTAATCCAATTGGGTCAAGCGATGAATAAGGAAGGTTGTATCATCATCATCGACCCAACATTCAATTTAACAATTCATTAGAAAAATTAATGGTGACCCATCAAATCAGCAAATAAATCATAATTTTTCTTCTCTCTTCTCTCTCCGATTCTGTCTCTCTCTCTCTCTCTCTTTAATTTCGCATCTCTCACATATATGTCCTAATCTCTAACTTCATTAAGGCTTAGTGAAGGAAAATGGCTCTACTCATCTATGTCATGGTGTACTATTGATTTGGGTCTTTTTTGAATAAAGAAGACAATAGAAATGAATAGATAATTTGAAAAGTTTGATGAGTCATTGAGAATGAACAAATTTGAAAGTCTTTTATGAAGAGATGTGAAGTTAAGGGATTGTGGCAATGGAGGGGTGGGGCAACACAAAGATGGTGGCGGTGGAGAGATGGATAGGACAGTGAACAAAAAGATGGTGACGGTGGAGGTGGAGAGGCGGGTAGGACAGTGACAGAGATGGAAGAATTTTGAGAGAAAAATAAGGGTGGGTTTGGATGATTATTTGAGAGAGAAAACGTGGAGGAGGTTGGATGATATTTTGAGGGTAATTAGTCTCTCTTTTTTTCCCCCCTAAATGAAAGATGTTTTATAAATATCAACAAAAATGTACAAAGGGAAAAAGTAAAGACATGCCCTTACTTACAAAACAAACATCAACCTAACATGGGATACAACCCAAACTAAGGAACAAAACAAAGCAAACAAAAACAGAGAGTTACAAAATATCTTGAAGTGTAATCCCCATTACATCAAGAACCTCCCACAAAATACACTTAGCAAGCTCCATACACTTGTCATTATGTAATCTCTCATTCCTTTCCAAGCAAATGAAATATAACACAGCAACAAATAATATCCTTGCCATTTTGTTGCCCTTCCCTTGAAATTTTTGAATAAAAACCATCATAAGATTCTGAACCTCAGTAACTCTTTGTTAGTTCCAATCACAAATATCAGAGATATTAGCCCAAACTTGCCAAGTAAAATTACAACCACAGAACAAATGATCTAACGATTATATATTCTTATAACACAAATTGCATCTAGAAGCAAGTGAGAACCAATCCTTTGCAGAAAAGAATATGTGAGAATAATAATCTGCAGCATTAAAACTGAATGGGTAGGCCATATAGGTCTCCCCCCACTCCAACACAGCCCAGACCAGCAAACTGGTTGATTAATTTCTCTACAAACCTCCCATGCTGACTTGAAGCTGAAATTATTTTTCCATCTAATTTGATCCTCACCCCCATAAATTTTTTGAACATGAGAAACCTGTAATACCTCCTGTGAAGTATTCATCAAAATATCATCATTCCATTATCCATCAAGAATGAACTCATTCAGACAACTCTTCTTATTCCTGCTTAATTGTCTCAGCAACCTATGATTAAACAATTCTCCCAAATATTTTCCTTCAACCCAAGGTAAAGTAGTCTTTTTAAAATGGTAGAATTTTCCATTTAATGAATGAGTGAGTTATATGGTAATTTCGGGTCTTATTCGGTGATTAAATTCGGTTGCCGTATCATTACTCTTTAATTATTATTAATCCCCATCATATAAAATAGTCGAATTAGCTTGATACTCTATTAACTCGTTCTCAGCAATTTTATAGGTAGGTAAATCAACTTTTTTAAAATAGTGCATTGTTATTGGGTGGGTAAACTGATGACGTGGCATGCACGGTGCACCTAATATCTACTTCATCTATGTAGCCTCCATGTCATAACTCATCTATGGTTTTTCACAAGTAAGCTCCCATTTAGGGTTCTATGGCATAGATAAAGTATTGAAGAGTTGTTGGGAAATCATTGCCTCTCCCCCAACAGTCTACTATGTTATCTATATGATTGTTGTGTTGTGCTACTATTTTTATAAAACATGGATATATTTGTAATTTTAATTATTATTAAATGCAATAATGATAATAAGAAACAAACAAATAAAATATGTAAGATATAAATTTGTAATTAGCATATTTCGTCTTCAAAACGAGTCCAATTGAGTTGTAAATTTTCAGTTCGGTTTGCCAAGAAACAAGATCGAAAGCGGAATTGAAGAAGTGATCGTGTTCATACTTCGATACACTCTGGAATGATGAGAACAACGCTTTAGGAAGGTAAGAGAGTGTGTGAGGACACTTTGTTGTTTCAAAATTGGTATTTTAAAAGTTTGGCCAACTTAAACCGGTTCAATTACCCTGAACCGGTTCACGTGTCTAACGTTATTTTCCTTGAAAACTCACTGGCCAACTTGAACCGGTTCAAGTGTCAAAATTATTTTCTTCGAAAGCTCACTAACTTGAAATAGCTCAACCACTCTGAACCGGTTCAAAGTCTTTAGATAGTTTTAGTAACTTTTTCTTGATCTGTTTTGGCTTCCTGTTTTGCATAGACTTTTACTATATTAATTATGCACAAAATTGACTTGTTTTCCAAGTACAATTAGGTTTTCAAAAGTTTATAAAACTATGTTTTCTCAATTAGGATTTCACGGCTTTTTGCATACAAAATTCTGATTTAATTGAGAGCCATCTTTGTGAGATTTTTATTCAGAAAATCAATATAATTTTTATGATTTTATTTTTTAGAGCACACACATAAACACAAGAGTGATTTAGTAGTGTTATTCTCTATTTCATCGGAATTGGAGTATAATTGAAGATTCAAAAATTCCGAAAAGCAAAATCTATTTCTTCAACATCAAATTCAGATTCAAATAAGAAGAATTTCCGATCACACTTTGAAGGGGTCAAGGCGCTTTGAGAAGTGTTGTTGATCTACCAGCAATTCTTCTACAAGGTTTAAGGAGTAAGTCTAAAATCGAGAGTTATTGGACAGGGGAGTCGCAAAACAAGGGGTGTTCAGCAAGTTGGGTCTTGGTAGAGTGAAGGGGTGTGAGCCAGAATCAAAGTTCGATATACTTTGCTTCATATATAGTGGATCTTTTTACGCTTGGGATAGCGCACAAAACCTCGAGGTTTTCCAATTGGTTTCCTCGCTAAAATTCGATGTCACTCAAACTTTACTTGCATTTATTTTTGCTTTGTGGTTTGATTAATTTACTTTTATTTCGGTAAATTTAATTTAAGTAAAAAATGGGTAAAAGAGCAAATTAAACCTATTCACCCCCTCTAGGTTACTAATCCATATTATATAATTTATATTCTAGTACCATTCCACATTATGCAACTCATAAAATACTCTCTCCTTAAGACAATATTTGGCCTTTTAAGTGATGTACTGACTTCTAGATGACAGTCTCCCAAGATATAACCACTGGTTTAAACCCAAAGAAAGTTGGCTAGAACTATGATCAAGACTAGGGCTTGAGAGGATAGATGAGAGAACTTAGATTTGGAATCTGGAAATGAACAAATTGTAATCGAAGAACCCAGGCCTATTTATAGACCAACTGGTTCTTATTTGGTCTTACCTAAATAGGTACTGGGTCAGCCAAACCATCACCAAACACAAATTTCGGTCCAACGGCTAGCCCATACAACCCTTTGGGTTAAACCAAATAACTGTTCTCCAACCTTTATGTTACGTTTGGTAGGCATCAATGGAACGCACATTCCAACAATTCTTCTGTTTAGTATAAAATTTAAAGTCAGAATAACCATTCTCTCTGAATAAAAATTCATTCTAAGGAATGAAAATTCATTCCACAATTAAACCTATAGAATAACCATATCATTCTCAAGTAATTTTTTTTTTCCTTCAAAAAATAAAGTCCAAAAAACTTCCTCATGTTTTGAGTTTAAAAACCACCACCACCATCACTGTCACCACCTTCAACCGCCACCACCACACCGACGTCACCATCACCACCATTGTCACCTCCATCACCCCTTCCACTACCATAACCACCGACTTCCACCACCATCATCCCCATTACCTATTTTTTATATTCCGATGTGGGGCCAATTTTATAAAGAGTGAAGTGCAAAAAAAACTCCTGAAGTATACTTTTCGTAACACTTTTACTACCTATTTAAAAAAGTGTGCAAAAAACACCCTTATTTTTTCACATTGTTCAAAAAACACCCTTCAATCAGAAATTTGACATAAACTAGTGCTATAATGCCCATTTTACCATTTTATTTTTCCAAAAATGCCCACACCATGCTAACTTTATGATGTGAAACTATAGATGTAAAATAGGAAGATGAAATAGAGAAATATTAAGAACACAGTATATACATGGTTCTGCACTAAGGCCTACATCTATGGATCGAAAGCCACTAAAGCTACATTTCTCTTATTCATTTCTTCATAAGTTTACATTGTATTGATACACAATATATAGGAAATAAAGTTGACAAAAAGAATAAATTAAGGAGTAAATCAAGCAGGAAAGAAGGAACACGAATATAATATATATGTTTAATATATATAATATATTATACATATATATAAGGAAAGAAAGGAGAAGGAAACAGAATATAATACATATATATAATATATATTTCAATATTCTCCTGCAAACTCAAGATGGATTTCTCGAAGCCAGCTTGAGTTTGGAGATGAAATCTTGAAAATGGTAGTGGAGCGAAAAACATCGAAAAGGCCGGAAAAACGTTAAGGGAAATGGCCGAAACAATGTCGGGGAAATGGGTCGGAACAAAGCCGAGAAATGGGCTAGAGCAACATTGGAAGATATCCAGGTAATCCATCTGAGAAATGAAAAAGATCCGAAACAAAACTGGGGAAAGGCCGGAACAAAGCCGAGGAAGTGGCCAGAACAACGCTTCAGAGCGTTGACTACCGTTGGTGAAGGAGGAGCGTGTGGGCACATGTAGCGCGAGTGAGATCTACTCGCAAGAGCGTGCGTTGCGTGGGTGCGTGAAAAGCAAGTCAGATCTACTTCGCAGGAGCGTCGGCACGTGATAGTGCGGGATGTCGCTTGGAGGTGCGTGGTTGATCAAAAGGAAAAACAAAGAGAGATCTGAACCAGAAACGGATCAGATTTTACTGGTATTCTCCTTCACTGTTCTCTGCAATCAGTAAAGGAAAAAAAAAAACGATTTAGGATCATTGCTCTGATACCATGTTAACTTTATGATGTGAAACTATAAGATGTAAAATAGGAAGATGAAATACAGAAAGATTAAGAACACGGTATATACATGGTTCGGCACTAAGGCCTACATCCATGAATCAAGAGCCACTTATGTTACGTTTCTCTTATTCATTTCTTGATAAGTTTACATTATATTGATATACAATATCTATGAAACAAAGTTGACAAAAGGAATAAATTAATGAATAAATCAAGCAGAAAAGAAGGAACACGAATAGAATTTATATGTATAATAATATATTATACATATACAAGGAAAGAAGGGAGAAGGAAACAGAATATAATACATATATATAATATATATTTCTATATACTAAACCTTACTCTCCACCCCCCAAAACTATTACCACTGTGCAAAACCCATTTCAGTTGTAGCTTTTATTTCTGTTGAATAGACTTATTTTTATTGTTTGAATAAGATCATATAGTGATGATAATCAAATTTAATTATATCAGTATACTCATTAGACAATCATCAGTACTGTTTTAGAGCATCGATAGTGAGGCTATCATCAGTATAATATTAGATTAAGAACATATGCTAAGAGTAAGATTTCTATTGTAAAGAAGAAGATATTACAATTTTTTTTATAAAAATTATTTTTCATACTAATAGTTTAGTACATAAAGCTAATTGCACATTTATAATTTGCCTGATTGATTTCCTCTCTGCAGTAAGAAACATGTAATTTCTATAATGTTTGATAACTCAATTCAATATTTAATTTAATTAAAAAAAAAAAAGAAAGAAAGAGAGAGAGAGAGAGAGAAACACAATCGAAGAGATCTGTAAGTCGCACAGGTTTAAAAATAGTTAGATTATCCAACTGTGTGTGTTGGGAAAAGAGTGTTTTTTTAAATTAAAAAAATAAAAAAAAAAAAAACATTGGATGGTGATACTCATTAAGCACAGGTGGCTCCCCATGTCATAATCATAAATTAATGTTTTAATACATATATCATCTGTTCATAATATTTAAGATCTATGTAAATTAATAACCAAGTTTCCACTTGAGAATATAATTACTATGATTGTATTGATGCAATGCCCGAAGTCTTCTTTTTTTTCGGTAAGGTAAATCAGTACACGTGGAAATAATTTACAAACAAGGTCCATTAACGTCAATCTAGTCTTGATTGCTCGGTTTAAGTGGGTAGCAAAAGATTATTACAAAAATAACAAATATAAACTAAGAAAGAAACAAAAATTATTAGGAATTTTTTTATTTTATTATTTGTCTTAACAACAATGGCAAGGCATTGATGCTTCCCTCTGCTTCTGTTTTGAATCTGTGTTTTGAATTTGCAAATTCTCTTGTGGAAGTTTTGTTTACAACTTTATCTAAAAGCATGAAGGGGTACATGTGCCTCCTCAACTTCTAAAAAATTTCATTTTTGTATGTATAAATTTTTAAAATGAACCCTCCCCCACTCCAAATTTGTATTTATTAAGTACATTGTACCCTTGAATAGAATTCCTAGCTTCGTTCCTTTCTAAAAGACATGAATTATTCAAAATTCTGTTAATATCAATTTTTTTTTGTTTCTTTTTCTCTGATGTATGAACGATATAGTGGCTAGAAACAGAGTTCGGAATCTTGGATAAAGCAGAGATTTTCTATACTAGCTATCCATTTATAAAATAGATCCAATGTGATATGATGATTTATCAAATCATATATTTAAACCAAATAGATCGAAAACATAATTTTTTTTCACAATCAACAAGATTCTTCTTTTGCAAGTACAATCACCAAATTTATTTTAAGGAACACCAGAGATAACATACCACATCTTATCATTGAATTGACGTAGTTTCACAAGAAACAATAACCAACCCAAACTTTCAGGCTTAGCAAATACGAAAATATGAAAATTACTTAAAATCACACGCAGAGACACATGTTTGTGTTGCCTTTAACCATTTTCACCAACATTTAAGGTAAAGGCTAAATAGTGTTGAACAGAGGAGAAGGAATTTGGCCACACAGGCTTGACATTCCATTACAGAATATATATAGCAGAGTATAACAAGAGGTTCAACTCATGAACCAAACCTCCTAAACTGACTCCTTCAAATACGACAGAGCTGGAAAACCAAAAGACTAAGTTAAAGTAGATACAATTCAAAATACAACAGAATATACGATCTTATCTATCATGCCCCCTCAAGATGGAGCTCGGTCAAAGAGGCCAATCTTGTTTTTTAGAGACAGGAACCAAGACCTAGGAGTGGTTTGGTAAGTGCATCTGCAGGTTGGTCTGCACTAGAAACATGAGCAACACGTAAGAGTGCCATTTTGAACTTGATCACAGATAAAAATGGAAGTTGGTCTGCACTAGAAACATGAGCAACAAGTAGAGTGCCATTTTGAACTTGATCACAGATAAAATGGAAGTCAATAGCAACATGTTTCATCCTTGAATGAAAAATGGGATTTGAGCACAGGTGAATTGCCCCAACATTGTCACAATAAATCACAGGTGAGTGAGACAGAATAACACCAAGTTCAGTCAACAGAGAACACACCCAGCTGAGTTCAGCAGCAGTAGCAGCAACGGACCTATATTCAGCCTCGGTGGAGGATCTAGCAACCATGCGTTGCTTCTTCGAACTCCAAGATATTGGATTGTGGCCAAGATAAACAAATATGCACTTGTAGAAGAAAAATCATCCTTGTTACCAGCCCGATCAGCATCGGAAAAGGCATGCAATGATAGACGGGAATCACGGTAAAACTCAATGCCTACATTAGTTGAACCACAAAGATAATGTAAGAGGCATTTTACAAAAACCCAATGGTCGGTAGTTGGCCGATGCATGAACTGAGAGAGCTTATTGACCGCGAAAGCTATATCCGGCCATGTGATTAATAGATACTGTAAACTCCCAACAATGGTTCTATACTCTATAGGATCCAAGAGAGTAGAACCCGAATGCAATGTAAGAGGGGGACTTGTAGGTAGAGGAGTGAGTACCGGGGTAGCATCCATCATTTTTGTTCGAGCAAGAAGATCCATAATATATCGCCGTTGGGATAGCAAGATACCTCTGGCATTTGGAATAACCTCCACACAAAGAAAATAAGATAGTTGTCCAAGATCCTTAAAAGAAAATTGGTGAGAAAGCATATGCACAAACCGACGAACCAAATCATCATTATCACCGGTAATAATAATGTCGTCAACGTAAACAAGAAGAACATAAGATGACCTCCAGTTTTGAAAACAAAAAGAGAAGTGTCAGCATGAGAATTTTGAAATCCCGAAGCAATGAGAAATTTGCGAAGCTCATGGTACCATGCTCGTGGAGCTTGCTTAAGCCCATAAATAGCTTTTCAAAGCTTGCAAACATAAGTTGGATAGTCAGAATCAACAAAACCTGAAGGTTGGGACATATATACATCCTCAGAGAGATGGCTTTGCAAAAACGCATTGTTTACATCAAGTTGTGGTAGAGACCACCCACGACTAATAGTAATGCTAAGAACAAGACAAACCGTAGTAGGCTTAACCACAGGACTAAATGTATCATGATAGTCAACTCCCAGGTGTTCATGAAAGCCTTTTGCAACCAAGCATACTTTGTGCCCGTCAATAGAACCATCAAAATTACGTTTAGTGTGAAATATCCCCTTACAACCAACGATATTGTGGCTAGAAATAGAAGGTACAAGCTCCCATGTCCTATTTCGACTGAGAGCATCATATTCTTCAGACATGGCCCTTATCCCCTTACAACCAACGATATTGTGGCTAGAAATAGAAGGTACAAGCTCCCATGTCCTATTTCGACTGAGAGCATCATATTCTTCAGACATGGCCCTACGCCATTTCGGATCTTTGAGGGCTTGGGTCGCAGTGTTTGGTTCTACATCACAAGCTTGGGAGAGTTGAGTGGAGAGGTTAAGTTTCTGGATTGGCTTTCGGATGTTGTTTTTGGCCCTAGTGGCCAAAGTGTGTATAGGTGCTGGGAGTGAGGAATTGGTATAGGCAGTGTGTATTGAGTTTGGTTGGGGTTCGGCTGAAGGTGCAGAGGGGGTTAATTGGGTGTGAGACTCTTGCAGCAATTGGGGTCAAGCGGGAGGAGCCGATGTGGTGGTGGTAGAGACCAACAGAGCATCACACAAGGGTTGTAATTGAGGTTGAACTTCAAATGGTGTGGAGAATGGCACTAAAGAAACTGGACATGTCGGATTTTTTATTACAAGAGGAATCCAAGTGGAGATAGTATTAGGTTGTGGTCGGGGAGATGGAGTGGAAATAGTGAGAAAAGGAAGTACCAACTTAACAAATTTAACATGACGAAAAACAAACATTCTTACTGTAGAAGGATGAAAGCATAAATAGGCACTTTGAGTAAGAGAGTACCCAAGAAAGATACATTGTTTGGACCGAGAGTCAAGTTTGTGAGTAGAATAAGGACGAAGCCAAGGGTAGCATAAACAACCAAAAATTCGAAGTTTGGAATAGTTTAGGGCGAAACCAAAAATTGTTTCATAGGGAGAAGAAAGATTAAGTGTGGGAGTGGGCATTCGATTAATTAAGTAAACAGCAGCAGCAAAAGCATGAGACCAAAAAATTAAAGGAAGTGAGGCATGGGAGAGAGTAGAGTAAGACTTGTTTCGACAATATGACAATGTCGTCTTTCAAAATACCCATTGTGTTCAGGTGTATGAGGCTGAGTAGTAAGATGAGAAATGCCATGAGTAGCAAGAACCAAGTATTCACCACCATTATCTGAATAAACTGTATGAATTTTATTTTTGAAGTGTTTTTCCACAATGGCTTTAATTCTTATAAAAACATCTTTAACTTCAAATTTTTGTTTGAGAGGATAAAACCAAATATATTTAGTGAAGTGATTAACAAAGATGACATAATATTTAAAGCCGCCATGTGAAATAGTTGAAGAGGTCCATACATCAGAGATTTCAAGTGGTTGAGAAGAGATAAGAGAAGAGGTAGAAAAAAAAGTAATTTATGACTTTTATTACAGTGACAAGCATTACATAAGAAATCAGATGACATAGAGGAGGACAAATCTAACTGATAATGAGAAACAATGTGCTTTAAAAGAGGAAATGCAGGATGGCCTAATCTATGATGCCACGCAGATGGAGTAGTCTTAACACTAGCGAAAGCTAATAATGGAGAGGACGGTGGAGAGGAAACCGGCCATTCATACACCCAATCCTTTGTCTGACCTTCAAAAAGATTACCCCCGTGTGAAGTTCCTTCACAAGAAAATAAAAAGGTAAGAATTCAACGGAAACATTTTTGGATGTGCAAAATTGGGAAATGGATATTAAGTTCTTTTTCATGCTAGGTACACAGAATATTGTCTAAAGTAAATGCAGTGTTAGAATTAGTAAGAGGTGTAAAACCAGTGTGAGTTATAGGAAGACCCGAACCATCGCCAATCATAATGTCATCGGAACCGGTGTACGGTGCATAACGAGATAGATTGCTCAGGTCAACAGTGACATGGTGAGAAGCACCACTGTCAAGTAGCCACTTCGGAGTGTCAGAAGTGGTATTAGCAATGAAGTGAGCCTGAGGCTGCCATGGTGTCGAAAAGTTGGGCACTGGTGCACTAGGAGTTATGTATGGCTGAATTGGTACAAGGCAAAAGGAGGGACATCTCTTGGCAGTATGTCCCTATATTCCACAAATTTGGCAATAGCTAAGATAAGTGCGTGGAGGAGGCCGATCACTTCGATAATAGTTTGGTCAAGCGTTAGGTGACGCGGGGGAGCGATTGTTGGTATTAGGCGACGGGCGCCAGCCTGTACAGTTGTTTACAGACTTTGGGTTGGATGTAGGATGCCAACCCAAGTTGGTGTGACTTGCAGGATTTGCCGAAGCTGAGTGTGATGGTTCTAATTTCGTTCTTTGAAGAGACACTTCAAAATTCAAGAGTTTTTCATGGATTTCATCAAAGATTATCGAGTTGTCTCTAGCTTGAACAGCTTGCACAAGTTCTTTGTAGTCGTCGCCAAGGCCATCAAGAATTTTCTCCGTGAGATCGATCATCTTCATCTATAGGTGCTCCAAGAATAGTAAGCTCATCCGCACGAGCTTTAACGGTCTGGAGAAAATTAGTAATATTTTGAGATCCCTTAGAGAGATTCTTAAGATGGCTTTTTACTTGCTTGATGCGCCCCCGTGACGGCTTGGCGTAGGTGTTGGCGAGGATTGTCCAGGCTTCTTGTGATGTTTTGGCTCGAGCAATAAACGGGATAATGGTGGGAGAAAGAGAATGATGAGCACTGAAAAGTGCGTATTTAAACCTCTTAAGCTTAGGCATTCTAGTACCTTTATCTATCTTACTTTACCGTTTTAGATTGATTTCGTATTATTTCCATTTTCAGCCACTTATCCCGAAAATAAGCTAACTCAGCCAAATAAGAGCTTAATTGAAGCAATTCTTGGATTAAATGAAGAAAGGAGCAAAGTGGAGAAAGAAAGAAGCAAATGAAGCCAAAGGTGGGAAGCAGCAAAGTTCGATCGATCCAACTTCAAGGTTCGATCGATCGAACAATGATCGATCTCAGCACTTCAAGATAGATCCAAGCCTTGACCCAAAAGCATAAAGTCCAAAAGTTCGATAGATCCAACACCACCCTTCGATCGATCGAACACTTTTATCCGTATTCATATGATTGATCCTATCAACAGCTGTACCACCCACTAACCACTTTTGTCCTTTTCCCAAAAATATCTCCCAAAATATCTTAGATTTGTCTTTTCCCAAAAAGCTCAGCTAGTTGGATCGATCCAGCCCAAGTTCGATGGATCTCAGCCAGTTCGATCAATCCAAGTCCAAGTTTTGATCAATCGAACTTCCTCCAGTGCAAAAAAGTTAAATTTTCATCTCATTGAAAGATGTCCTTTATCTAATCATTAGAGAATATTGTGTGCACGACCCCAGCTCATTTTGGGTGTCATTTTGACCTACCTATATAAAGATAAAAATTGTTTTTTACAAGGGGAGCTAATAGAATTCTAGGGTTAATTCTCTAGAAAAGAATTGCTTTTTACAAGGGGAGCTAATAGAATTCTAGGGTTAATTCTCTAGGGAGCCAATATCATTTTCATATTATCTCTTGGAGAGCAAGCTTTAGAGGAGAAGAGGCTAGAGACACCATTGGAGGTTCTTCATCAACAAGGAGCAGATTTCAACCATGGAGTTAGCCCTTAAGGGTTGGAGCAACATCACCATGAGTGGCTAAACATCCTCTTAGGGCTAGAGTTAGCCCCAAGCATGCTTTTTATTTTTTAATCGTGTGTATTATTGAGAGATTAGTGTTGTAATTAATGTTTCGACACTTTGATATATATAGATCTTATTTATTCAATGATTTATGTGGTTTAATGTTCCAATTGATCATTTCATTCTATCCATATGTCTATGTATGCTAGAATAGATGTTCATGTATTTGTCTCTAAATTTTGTGTTATTGATGCATGTCTATGTGTATTGATGCTATAGATTTGGAGATTGTCAAGACATAGTGCTTAAAAGAATGCTCTTGTGATTTTCTTGATGGTTCATGCTTATTCCTTGATGGATTATGCCTCTCCTAGTTTACTTTCATGCTAGTAGTGTAGATGTAGTGTAATTGCAGTGTAGTGTTAAATGGGAGGACAATCCATGCTTGTTATTTGATGATCCAAGCTTTTAAATGCAAGTAGCATATGTCTCTAACCTTGTTTTGTATTTAGATTGGGAGCTTAATGAAAGGATTAATGACTTGTTTTGATCTATTGTGCCTTCCACATGTTGTTTAGACAATATATGCTTCATTGCTTAGATATATTGTGCCTTTCACATGAAGTTTAGACAATACATGCTTAACTAGTCATCCTTGCTTGTTGAATCAACCAAACACACACACACACCAATATTGCAACACACCATTTGCCCTCATTAATCACTTGTCAATAATATAGAAATGCATTACTTGGTGGTGATCTCTAAACCCCAAGATCTCTCTCTCTCTCTCTTACTTACTCTTAATTGCATTCTTTTTGTTATCAATTAGTTTAATTTAGTTGTTATCTAATCAACCAACCAACCAATTGTTTGATCACTCGACCTATTAGTCCTAATAGCGATTCCACGACCTTGTTCGATCCTCACAATCCCTTGGGACGATCTCTACTCGCCCTAGCTATATTTATAGTGAAAGGTAGTAATGGCTTTTATAAATGTAAAACTCTTGGCCCTCGCCTTAGAATCCACACACTCTCAAGCTTGATTGTGGTGCGGCGACATATCGCATCAGAGAACCAATAAAAGCATTGAGAATCAATTGGTCTTGTTAAACCCATATAGTATGAGCTGGGTTTAGTGTAGTGGTATTGTTTGCAATAATAGTAGATGTAAGATTTTGATCCGTCGATATAACCAAGAAGATCATATCCTACTAAAAGGGTGTGAAACTGGAGTTTCCATGATACATAGTTATTGGTGGTACATAGTTATTGGAGTTTCCATGATACATAGTTATGGAGCTTAAGCAAAGATATTGATGGTGATCAGTACGTTATTCGGTTCGTTGGTGTTGTGAATCACAGGATTGGATGTTCCAGAACTGGTATTGGTGTTTGTGGTCATTTTGATGGTGGCTAAAGGAGATAGCGGCAACAATTAAAATTGCTCTGATATCATAAAGGCTAAATAGTGTTGAACATAAGAGAAGGAACTTGGCCACATAGGCTTGACATTCCATTATGGAATATATATAGCAGAGTACAACAAAAGGTTCAACTCATGAACCAAACTTCCGAAACAGACTCCTAAAAATACGACAAAGCTGGAAAACCAAACGACTAAGTCAAAGCAAATACAATTCAAAATGCAACAACATATACAATCTTATCTATCATAAGGAACCATTAAGGACAAGACAAAGCATCCGTTATTGTAACCTTATTGAATGCAAATTATAATTGACTAAAATACCAATAAAAGGATATGCTCCAATTTACTTTTGCTGGACCAGAGGAGGAAAAGTCTTTGCTCCTAGTTAGCACTCGTGACACCATCCATTGAATCCAGTGAAATTGGCCTACATAAGTTATATTGTTAAAAAAAAAAAAAAAAAAAAAAAAAGAGGTTAAGTATGCATGGCCTTCATATTTGTATAAATAAAAGCTTGAGTACTAAAATAATCTTCAATTTTAAAAAAAATAAAAATAAAAATTTTATTATTATAATAATGTATTAAATGGCAAATTATGACTAATCCTGGCTTTTGTGTCAAATTTTTTAGTAACATGCTTGGCTAACCACTGTTATTGCCCCAATTTTTTTTTTTTTTTTTTTTTTTCCTTCAGATGTTATGTTGTCTAGCTAGCTATCATTCCCAAAACATAAGAGGCATGATAAAATATAAAATCAAATAAATTTGTGGATGAGTCGCAAATTTGAAAATCCAATTACGCACTAGCACATATATATAACTGTGTTCAGCGTTTTGCCGTCACGACTATGCTTTTTCCCTAATACTGGCTTTCCTTCAATATCATAAACAACTTGGATGTAATCAATTATTGATTTAGAGTATATTATTAAGTGTAGTGCTACTTATGCCGAAGTGTTAAAGTGAATTTCTAGAAAGAAATTATTGATGGGTCATCCTTCCACTATACATAACATTATTGATGGGTCTATTTCCTTATATTTTGCATATATAACCAATCAAAAGTGCTCGGTAAACTAATTCACTTCAATTCATTGATTTTAAAAATATTTTCCAATAATTAATATCCTTACCGTGTTGTAGGTTATGTTGTCCCACTACTGTCTACCAGTAGTTCCAAGTGGACCAACACAAAGTATTTTAGCTTGGAATGGCTTTAATGTATACTCCAATCGAATCCAAACGTTCACCCACCCTTCCAAAGAATCCAACAATCTTGCCCACAGTTAATGGGGTCATAAAATGACTTCCTTCTTCCTTACCATACGGTCCATATTGCTTAATATTGCTGTGTAATGTAAGTGATTTCACAACAAGATATGTATTAAGATAGTACCCACAATACCCTGATATTGAAACGAGGTACTCAGTAGGATAGTTCAATTTCACCTGTAAGATTTCAATGAATAAGGATAAACTTAGTTATTACAACAAACATCGAAAAACCAAAAAAACACATAAAATAAAAAACGACAAAAAAACGTAAAGGTCACAATTAAGAACAGTAAGAATATTTTTGTATGTTAAGATATGAATGCATATTTATGTGAATTGTTGAGTTATAAAAAAGATAAATACTTGACAAATATAAGAATCACAAAGTATTGATTTGTAGTATTTTCACTCACTAAAATTACAACTGTTCTTAGTGGATCTTCGTATTTTAAAAGTTATGGATGATGTGGTATAGTCTGTAATTATTATTTTTATTTTGTTTATTGAAATGTTATGTTATCTAGCTAGTTTGCTTTCACAAAAATTGAGATGCATAACGAATATAGAATCAAATAAATTTGTGCATGAATGACAAATTTGAAAATCAAATTGAATACATATATATATATATATATATATATATATATATATATATATATTACCCTGTTTGGTTGTCGGGCGCAAAAACCATGTTTGTTTCCCCACACCGCCTTTCCTCTATTATCATAGACAACTTGGATGGATTCAATTTCCAGTCCGGCTGAGTATATAATTATTTCCCTTACCGTGCTATAGATTCCGTCATTCCACTGATTACCAGGTTCTAAAGAACCATATGGCCCAAAAGTAACTGTCTGACCATTCGCCATGGTGTCCTAAAAGGTCTAGATATTAGTACTTCAAGTTTATATAAGAGTAATTAGATCAAAAAGTGATACATATATATGTGTGTGTGTGTGTGTGCGCGCGCGCGCGCACGCTTGCAACGGTCCTTATGCTTGGTGTAGATGAATTTTTTACTCACCGGTGGGCAAGAGATCATTTCTCTATATGTATATATGTGTGCAAAATTGCAATTCAAGAAAAAGTAGAATGAAATAATTCTTTGCTGATAAATATGGATCCTTAATTAATGACCAGTTACCAATGGAATCAAGAATGAAGCATTTAAGGATGTGCATGGGTAGAACTGTAAATGAATTTAGTTCTCCCTTCTATATGGGAAGGCCGGCTCAATATAAATTGAGCCCTTAAGCGACGTTTTAATAGTTTATAAAAAGGGTTACAAACGAAATATACAATTTTATGAGAACAAAAAATAAAATGAGATAGGAGGGGAGGTGCAGAGTTTGTAATGAGTGAAAGATAAAAAATACTAGTAGTTCTAAGCATGTGTATATATATATATATATATATATATATATATATATATATATATCATGATGGCATTTTTAGTATATAGAATAATATTAACTTCTTTTTTTTCTTTTTCTTTTTAAAGCAAACACATAGAGTCATTATCCACAACTTGGGTGGAATCAGTTATTGATGTGGAGTATAAAATCAATTCCCTTACCATGCCGGAAGTTCCATCATCACACTGGTGTCCACCAGTAGTTTCCAATGCATTGTCAGTTCCGTCATCACACTGTTGTCCACCAGTAGTTTCAAATGAATGGTTAGTTCCGTCATCGTGGTGCTGTCCACCAATAGTTCCAAATGCATCGTTAGTTCCGACACCAGTGGTTCCAAATAGACCAACACAAGGTGTTATAGTTTGGAATGGCTTAATGTATACTCCAATTGAATCCAAACGTTCACCCACCCTTCCAAAGAATCCAACAATCTTGCCCACAGTTAATGGGGTCATAAAATGACTTCCTTCTTCCTTACCATACGGTCCATATTGCTTAATATTGCTGTGTAATGTAAGTGATTTCACAACAAGATATGTACTAAGATAGTACCCACAATACCCTGATATTGAAACGAGGTACTCGGTAGGATAGTTCAATTTCACCTATAAGATTTCAATGAACAAGGATAAACTTAGTTATTACGACAAATATCGAAAAACCACAAACACATAAAAAATAAATAAATAAAAAATATAAAGGTCAGAATCAAGAACAGTAAGAATATTTTTGTATGTTAAGATATGTATGCATGTTTATGCGGATTGTGGAGTTATAAGAAAGATAAATACTTGACAAATATAAGAATCACAAAGTATTGATTTATAGTATTTTCATTCACTACAATTACAACTGTTCTTAATGGATCTTCGTATTTTGAAAGTTATGGATGATGTGGTATAGTCCGTAATTATTGTTTTTATTTTGTTTACTGACATGCTATGTTATCTAGCTAGCTTGCTTTCACAAAAATTGAGAGGCATGACAAATATAGAATCAAATAAATTTGTGCATGAATGGCAACTTTGAAAATCAAATTGAATACATAAATATATATATATATATATATATATTACCCTGTTTGGTTGTCGAGTGCAAAAACCATGTTTGTTTCCCCACACCGCCTTTCCTCCATTATCATAGACAACTTGGATGGATTCAATTTCCAGTCCGGCTGAGTATATAATTATTTCTCTTACCGTGCTATAGATTCCGTCATTCCACTGATTACCAGGTTCTGAAGAACCATATGGCCCAAAAGTAACTGTCTGACCATTCGCAATGGTGTCCTAAAAGGTCTAGATATTAGTACTTCAAGTTTACATAAGAGTAATTAGATCAAAATTGATATATATATTAAAATGTGTGCGCGCGCGTGCGCGTGGAACAGTCCTTATGCTTGGTGTAGATGAATTTTTTACTCACTAGTGTGCAAGAGATCATTTCTCTATATGTATGTATGTGTGCAAAAATGCAATTCAAGAAAAAGTAGAATGAAATAATTCTTTGCTGAGAAATATGGATCCTTAATTAATGACCAGACCAATGGAATCAAGAATGATGCATTTAAGGATGTGCATGGGTAGAACTGTAAATAAATTTAGTTCTCCCTTCTATATGGGCAGGGCTGATTCAATATAAATTGAGCCCTTATGCGACCTTTTAATAGTTCATAAAAGGGGTTACAAACAAAATATACAATTTTATGAGAACAAAAAATAAAATGAGATAGGATGGGAGGTGCAGAGTTTGTAACGAGTGAAAGATAAAAAATAGTTCTAACCCTAAAAAATAAAAATAAAAATAAAAAAATCATAATGGCATTTTTAGTATATAGTATAATATTAACTTCTTTATTTTTTTCTTTTTCTTTTTAAAGCAAACACATAGGGTCATTATCCACAACTTGGGTGGAATCAGTTATTGATCTGGAGTATAAAATTAATTCCCATACCATGCCGGAAGTTCCATCATCCCATTGTAGTCCACCAGTAGTTCCCAATGCATTGTCTGCTCCATCATCACACTGTTGTCCACCAGTAGTTTCAAATGAATGAGTAGTTCCGTCATCGTGGTGCTGTCCACCAGTAGTTCCAAATGCATGGTTAGTTCCGACATCCCACTGTTGTTCACTAGTAGTTCCAAATAGACCAAAACATGGTATTGTAGTTTTGAATGGCTTAATGTATACTCCAATTGAATCCAAACGTTCACCCACTCTTCCAAAGAATCCAACAATCTTGCCAGCATTTAATGGGGTCATAAAACGACTTCCTTCTTCCTTACCATATGGTCCATATTGTTTTATATTGCTGTGTAATGTAAGAGATTTCACAACACATGTATTAAGATAGCTCTCACAGTACCCTGATATTGAAACGAGGTATTCGGTAGGATAGTTTAATTTCACCTGTAACATTTCAATGAACAATAATATACTTAGGTGTGACAAACATTGGAAAACCATAAACATGCACTAAAAAAAATGAAAGAATAATGTAACTTTCACAATCAAGATCGGTAAAAGATTGCACTATGTGAAAAAAATGGAGATTACAAGTTTTCAAACCCACAATATTTTCTCTCTCAAACTATCTATTTCTTCTTTTAGGCTATGTTTGGTACGGTGGGAAAGAAAAGAAAGAATAACATTAGTTATGAGGGAAAGGGAAGGGAAGGATAATTTTAACCCCCTATCGTATTTGGTTGATTAATGAAGAAAAAGAATGGAAAAGATAATAATCATGTTTGGGAAAAGAAAGGAAAGAAAACTTTTTCAAAAAATTTACTATTATACCCTTTTATATTTTAAAAGATAAATTTATAGATTTAACTATGTAATATAAAAATAATATTTTTAGGGCCAATCATTTTAGCCTCCTCATCGCCTCCATCTGTATTTTCGTTCTCAACTCTGAACTTGCCCTTTCTCTCTCTACAACTGCAAAGTACAAAATCTACAAGAATCAAAAGTTCAAAACCCATATATTTTAGTTTACTCTGCAAGAATCAAAAGTTCAAAACCTATTACCTATATCAAAACCCCCATATCGGCATATCATTTCAGATTGTTCAAAAAATCAAAACCCATATCTTTAAGTTTCCATCCCCTGTTGTTCTAGTTCGGGTTCGCCGTTCGCAAGCTTCAGCCGCTGTCTCTCAACTCTCAAGCTTGCCCCCCTCTCTTTACAAGTTCTATATGTATGGGTTTTATTTTAATTTTTTTTTTTCTAAATCAACTAATCAAGGTCTGTAATTCTTATTTTGCAAACTAAAATCCTAATATAAAGTGTAATCTTGATTTTGTGTGAGGGTAAATTTGACATCAGAAATAATACATCAAGCCTCTCCTTCTCTTTCCTTCCATTTCCTTCCATTTTTGGGAGGATAAGAAAGTTACTATTTATGCCTTGTGTTATCCTTCCAAAACCATCCCTTCCATTTCCTTTCCTTCCAACCATTTATGCCAAACACAATTTTTTAATCACCCTCCATCACCTTTCATTTCCTTTCCCCCCTTTTCCATTGCACCAGACTGACCCTTATACTGCGTTTGGTGTACAGAAATGGAATGGAATGGAATGCCCATTTCAACCATTCCTTTGTTTGGTATGCAATTCAAAGTGGGAATGGCCATTCCATTGGAATGAAAATCCATTCCTGGGAATGAAAATTCATTCCACAACTAAACCTATGGAATGACCATTCCATTCCCAAGTAATTTTTTTTTTTTAAAAAATCAACGTCCCAAAAAAAAACCTCATGTTCCAAGTTCAAAAACAACCGCTACCTTCCACCACCACCACCACCACCACCTTTGCCTTTCACCACCCCTACCACCACCTTCCACCACCACCACCGCTACCACCACCGCTGCCATCGCCTTTCATCACCGCCACCACCTTCCACCACCACCACCACCGTCTTTCACCACCACTACCATCTTCCACTACTGTCACCGCCTTCCATCACTATTGTCTTCCACCACCACCACCTTTCACCACCATTACCGCTACCACCGCCTTTTGCCACCACCTTCCACCACCACCACTACCGCCACCGCCGCCTTCCACCGCTACCGCCACAGCCTTCCACCGCTACCGCCTTCCACCACCGCTGCCACTGCCTTCCACTACCACCACTTTCCACCACCTTCTGCCTCCGCCTTCCACCACGACCATCACCACCACTATCACCATATAATACCCCGATATTTTAAAGGATTTATTAATTGTGATTAATTATTTTATTTTATTTTTAAATGATTTGTTTTATTTAATTAAGTGTTTAGATTAATTGTCTTATTTTAGTTAGATTTTATTTCGTGATTATATTTGTTGAATTAATATGATAATTGTTGTGTGTGTGTGTGTTTGATTATTGATTGAGTTATTGGTATTAATTTTATTGATATGGTGTGACTTGGTTGTAATTTATTGTTTTGTTTACGTGATTCATGTAATTAGTTATTTTAATTTAAATATTTATTTACTTATTTGATTTATTTAAATTAATTGGATTTGGGTTTAAGGGAAGTTGGACCAAAGGATGTGGTATTGAACTTGAATGAAACCTTATTGGGTTAATTAATAACGGCCCGTGGTTAGGTGATTATTTAAATGATCATTTTTGTATAATTATAAATATATATATATATATAAGTGTTATATAAATATATATATATATAAATACATATATATTTATAATTAATTAATTAATAAGTGTTATGGAAGGATATATATTTATAGATATATATTTAAGGATATATATAGGTATGTATGATTTAATTAATTAATGATTAATTATAGAAGGTATATATATATTATTTAAAAATTATTATTATTTCTTTTATATGGTAGTCATAATTGGAAAAGGATTAGGGTATTAATGTGGTTATATATACACATAGGATTAATTTATTTAAAAAGGATTTTTTACGTTAGAAAAATAAGAGAGGTAGAGAGAAGAAAAGGAGGTTGACAAAGAGTGGGCCGGATCAGAGAAAGAGGATGTCAGAATTAGAAGAGAGAATCAAAGCTTGAATTGTCGATTTCGTTTCGAAACCTTCGGGGGAATTCTTCTCTATCTTCCCTCTTAGAACTCATAAGGATTTCACCTTGAGTATCAAGTCTTTAATTAAATTTATTGATTAAATCATGGTTAGATCTGATGAATTAAAAACATGAAATACTATATTTTTATTCTTTTGGAATTTTGGTTTTTTAAGTTAATATATATGTGTGTGTGTGTGTGTGTGTTGTATATATTTTATTAATCAATTTATTGGGTGATCTATGACCCAAGTAGATAAATTAGGGTTTCTAAAAGTTTTGGAATTTTTCTGGAATTTTCTGAAATTTTCTGGGATTATTTTATATTTTTAGATTATTTATTTTGAATTGTTTTGTTTGTTATGTATTTATGCAAAATATATACTGTGTACTGTACTCCGTAAGAGGCTTCTGTAAATCGGTGCCTCAATAGGGAAATAATTCGGTGTGGGCGTGTGTATGGCAAGATGGTGCACACGCCAATCAGGGTCATAAGATTAAGTAAACTTATGTGGATTGATATGGTGCATCGCGACGCATAAAAGTTTGGTGAGCATGTGCATATGGGCCATAGAAGTGGTCTGGTCAACTGTGGGATTATCTGGTGTAGCGTAGACTATGAAAAGATGGTGCACTCGATGATCTAAACCTTAGATATATTCTAGTCAACAGAAAATAATCCAGTGTGAAAGTGTTCATTTGTGCACGAATTTGTGACCATTGGATGCAGCATAAAGGAAGTGATGGATTCAGTGTGGCAAGCTCACAATAGCTGAAAGACTCTAACCAATAAGAACGTCGCAGCACACACAGAGCTTGGATCCAGTGCGTAGGCACGCGTGGAAAATCCATGTTGGCCTGTTTCGATACTTGAAATTGAAACGGTCATAACTCAATCATTTTAAATCGAAATTAAATCATTCTTGAGCTCAAATTTAAGAAATTTTCATCTTCTTTCCAATGATACCAATTTCATTATCAGATTCCCATCCTACTAGGAGATATTTATGTTTTAGTAAGACGATGTCGAAAAATTATTTAAACCGAGGGAGTATTTATGGGAAACATTTGTAACGATATTTAGTAGTGTTTAATTTGCATAAATATAATTAAATTAATATATTGGCGATGAAGGAGGTATATATATATATATATATATATATATGATTTTAAATAATTAAGGATTATTAAGGAATGTGTTATATATATATATTAAATAAAATATGTGTATATGTTTATATTATTTAAGATAATTAATATTATTAGTCTTATTTGGTATATCTGGATAGATTGATTATTAAATTAATTATATGTATATGATATGCATGGAATGCCTAGGTATGAGTTGTTTTATTAATAAGTTAATTTGCTTATGCAAAAAATGTTTGGTTGATAAATTAACTTTTAAGGTTTGATACATGGTTAAATTGTAGAAATGAATGAGTTACCAAAGGCGTAAATATATTGCCTAAGTATTTATATAAATAAAATGCATACATAGGAAGTATGGATGAATTGCTAATTTAAAAGTATAAATATATATACTTGTGGATGCATGGTTGAATTGCCAATGTATAAATAAACATACTTGTGGAGGCACAATTGAATTGCCAATGTATAAATAAATATACTTAAATGAAGCATGATTGAATTGTCAATATATAAATAAATATATTTATAATGACATGGTTGATTTGCAAAGTGTAATTAAATTGTTATGTGTTAGATGATTAAAGCTTCATCTATGGTTATTGTATATATAGGTTGGATTAAGATTAGATATTCTTAAATTAGAATAATCTAATACTTACAGGTCAGTGTATTATTTTATATATATTAATAAAATAATATTTGTGGAGATATGGATGATTTGTCATAACTTAGATATTGATTGTGTGATTTAAATAATTAAATCATTATTGAATTTTATATAATATTCATTTAATTATATTATTTGTTTAAATGATTAATTAACTGTCTAGGAATAGATTGAGATTAATGAACTTTTCTTTAAAAGAAATGATGGATTGGTTTAGGTATGATTATTTTTTAATCATTATTAATGATTTTGGAATTAATGAACTTAGTAATAGATGTGACTATTGTATTATATATAATTATTTATATATATGTGTATCATTGTATGTTAAAGATAAAGACTTTATTAGGATTGATTTTGGTCAAAGATGATCTTTTTATTGATTTTTAGAGACCTGGTAGAGAGAACTTGCTCGTGGGTATGACCCACTTATTTTTATCTTTCAGGTTATTAGAAGTCCAAATCTCAAGGTTGAAGATCCGCAGTTGGAGGACTTATCCATTCTTTCTATTTTATTTCAAAGTAGGATGATAGACTTTTTTTTTTTATAGTTGGCTGGATTATTAGATAATGTTTTTAGGAGTTGAATTACGGGATTCCCGAGTTGTAACCATTGGAGAATTATTAATGGATTTATTATTTAATAGATTTTCCTTCGGCGAGTTATTTATTCTTTTTATTTCTTTTTGTAATCTGTCCTTGTTTGAAATACTTTAATTGTTTTGATATCCTCTAGTTTTGTGCGCGGACATGATCAACCTGTGTTTCGAAATTAAGGGGGTATCACACGCCACCACCTTCCACCGCCTTCCACCACAAGTCACCGCCTTCCACAACCGTTACTGCCTTCCACCATCGCCAACGCCTTCTTCCACCACCATTGTCATCATCTTCCACCACCACCACCACCACAGTCACCTCCACAGTCACCGCCACCACCTACACCACTATCTCCTTCTACCACCACCGCCGCCGCCATACTACTGCCATCGCCTTCTACCAACACCATTGCCACCTACCACCACCACTATCGCCACCGCCTTCCACCATTGCCACCGCCGTCGCGTTCCAACACCACCACCTACACCAGTACCTCTTTCCACCTCTACCGCCATTGTCACCACCACCACTGCGACGATTTATTTATAAAAAAATATTAGAGAATTTCATTTTGTTAATTTAATTTATTTGTTACTAAAAGGGATATTTTGGAGAATTCAATTTGAAATGTATTCCACTCTAAATTTTAAATTGATCGAACCAAACACTAGAATGCTTATTATCATTCCATTCCTACACATTTCATATTTACAACCAAACAATAAAATGAGAATGGGCATTCCAATCCATTCCATTCTCATTCTCATTCTCATTCTCATTCCCACTTGTATTCCATTCTTGCACACCAAACGTAACATTAGTGTTTTCTCATACCACCACACTACAAAACCTTGGTACAATAGAGACTCGAATCTAGGTCCACAATCCCGAGATAGAAATGGGTAAAAAAAATAAAAAATTAGAAGCCCAATAATTGGATCAAAATTGGGTTGCAACAGGACCCAGGACAAAACAAATTTTGGGTCACAAGTTACAGATTTGTATATTAAGATATGTCTATACAGTTTTATGTTTGTTAATGTGGATTGTGGAGTTCTAAGATATGTATACGTACATCATTTATATGTAGTGACTGAGTTGAGATTCATTTCAGGGGAGACTTAATGTACTTTATTAAAAAAAAACAATCAACTAGCAAATCAAAAGGCAAACAAAAAATAGTAATAATGAAATAAAATAATATGTTAATAAAGGAGTAGAATAAAAATTATAAATACTTTACATATATAAGATTGTCTGAACCAAAGTATTGATTTGTAATATTTCTATATATTTCATAATGTAATATTTCTAATGTATATATATATTTCATAATGTAATATTTCTATTCACTACAATTACAAGGTCTTTGTATTTTGAAAACCATGCATAGCTTCATTATCTATGTCACATTTTGCAAATGTCCTGTTCTTTTTCTTTTTCTTTTTCTTTTTCTTTTTTTTTTAATTGGTTTAATTAGCCTCAATAAATTTAGCAATGCATAATAGTCTCAATATTTGGGGTGGGAGATTTAGAAACGGTGCATTAGTCAGGATTCAAATAGTATGTCAACGTTCACAAAAAAGTACAGAAAATAAAAATTGCACAAAATGAGTTCATAAAATTACAGGAATAATTTTTTTTTTTTTTTAAAAAAAGGTTACAATAAATACATCATATATGAGTGCAAAAAGAAGAATCTAATGGGAAATTTTTAAAAAAAAAAAAAATTAATAATAATAATAATATGAGCGAATTTTGAAAGGAAAAAATGTAGAGTCTGATTGACGGAGGAAATATAACTTTTCTACAAACATTTCAAAAAATAATAATAATAATAATAATAAAAGAAAAGAAAAGAAAAATAAATCATTACGGAACTAAAAGAAAATTTGTGCATGAGTGGCAGATTTGAAAATCAAATTGCACACACACACACACACACACACACACACACACATATATATATATATTACCCTGTATGATTGTTGGCTGCAAAAACCATGCTTGTTTCCCGATACTGGCCTTCCTCTTTTATCATAGACAACTTGGATGGATCCAATTTCCGACCCGGCCGAGTATATAATTACTTCCCTTACCGTGCTGTAAGTTCCGTCATTCCATTGATTACCAGGTTCACGAGAACCATATGGTCCAAAAGTAACTGTCTGCCAATTCCCCATGTAGTCCTGATAAGTTTAGTACATGAAAAAGCAATTAGATAAAAAAATAAAATAAAAAATGGAAACACACAATTCATAACAAAGTAGAAAGGTATAATTCTTTGCAGAGGAATACGGATCCTTAACTAATGAACGAGTTCCCACTGGAATCGAGAGGGAAGTATTTAAGAATATGCATGGTAGAACTGCAAATGAAATTGTTCTCCCTTTGATATTCAGGCAAAATTTGGGAGATCGACAAAAACTCGTATGACAACTCGTTTATATTCAGGCAGTTGTGTTATTTTGCTATAATTGGAGGCATTTTTGGTAAATAGTAGAATGTTTTTAATAGACGAAAGGTTGGATGACGACGATGACTTCTCAAAAATAGCATAGGTGGAGAAGATATTTTCTTTTTCTTTTGATAGGTGAATAGGAAGAACAATTACTTATTACTCACCTCCTATAAAATTGCGGCTGATATGTAACTTTTTGAGGATCAATAGAGAAACATAAAACAAAAATAGAATAGAAAAAAGGTTGCTGATGTTATAGCTAAAAAGATGAATACTTACACACCAAAAGAGAAGAGACCGGAAAGGCTGTCCGATGACTCAGATATTGAAGCAAATTGTAGATAGAAATCGGAGGAGACAAACAGAGAAAAACTCCAAGAAAGAGCTGTCTAGAACATTAGCTGCTAGAGGAGTCTCGAAATAAAACAAAGAGGGCATGGGTATATATAGCAAAATGCAAAGGAATCATAAGCAATTTTCCGATCAATACGAAGCTCTCGTCGAGCTCGTCAACTTTGCCTTCTATGGCAAAGTCGAAATCTAAATGGCAAATGAAAGATCTAACTTTGAAAACTTGATTTGCAGAGGGAGAAAATATTTTGGGGAGAGAGAGAGAGAGCTGCTGTTTTGGGAGAGGAAATGACCAGAAAACTGATGAACAAGACAATGATATAAGTGATGAAATTATATCGCGTGGGCCCACTAAGTAAAAATATTCCATCTTTAATATTGTAATATACGTATATATTACCTGGTACATTCATTCATTTGGACGTATAATTACATAATTATACATCAAATAAAAATATATGAAATTCAATAACTCCAAAACATAATTCTTGTGCACCACATCAAAAATTAAAAAAATACTAAAACGGCAACTAATGCATTTTTAAGAGTTCTGAACTCGAGGAAATGCCCAACTAACTCTCTGATCCCATCCTGTACACTCCATAATGTTTGACACGCAAAACGAGACAAGCCTGAAATAATCCAAAAAAATCAAAAAATTCCATAAAATAGAAAATAGGAAACATTACAACTTGGTACAATTCTAAACCAACTAAGAAGGAAAATCAGAACACGAAACATAAGTTAAGAAAACCTGTCTGAAGCCTTGAATCGGTTTAAGATGGTCGGTGGATTTTCGAAGCAAGCTTTGAATGTCTTGAACCGGTTCAAGATGACCAATCTTGAATCTTGAAGGCTGAAACTTGAAAAACACTATTTTAGTAAGTTCTGAAAATATACAAGTGTCCTAACCTTCTTAAATCTCTTCATAAAGTGTTATTATTTCCTTTCTTAATGATCTCAGTATAGTATCTTTGAACAACCTTCCGATTCCACATTCGATGCAGATCCTGATATGGTAACTTATAATTACAACTCGACTAGGACTTGTTTTGACATCGAATATTGCCAATTACAAAATTTATATGTCACAAAGTTCTCCAGCATTCCCTTCCCTCTCTCTGGCAGTAGCCACCAAGACGAAGAAGAAGAATGCCAAAGGGATTTGAAGAAGAAGAAAGGTCAAACCCTTTTTAGTCATTTCACAAAATATATATATATATATATATATATATATATATATATATATATATATATATTATAAAATGTGTTGCTAGGCGCATTTTAGTCCAATTATATCATAAATGTGTAAAAAGGAACTTTTTGCACAAATATCATAATTTAGGATTGTTTTTTCCACGTGAGGAGTGCAATATGCACTGTAAGCATATTATAAGAGTATTTTTTGCACTTGACCCTTTTATAAACAACCATTTAACTTTCTTTTAAGCTCATCAAACACTTCATTTTGGAGTTAGTTTCTCATTCTTTCATAAACGAATTTGAAAAAATAACTATAACACCCTCATCTATTCTTGAAGGGGACCACATTCGACTAAGGACCCACCCAATACTCTTATCATGTCCCAATTTAATTTGGATCCAAAATTCGATAACCACCTTTCGTCTCCCGTGATTTTTCTAATCCTATTTGGTTTTTCATTCCAGGTATCTCCAATTCATATATCTTCCACCTGGATCGCATGAATTTCTGTCCACTCGAAAAGAAGAAACTTTGCCCATTCACTAGATAAATTTGTAACCAAGTAATGTTATAGAATAATTTCTCACGGATAGTATAGTTTATTCCATATAAATGCAAAAATTTATTAATGGCACACTAATCTGACTCTAACTGATTTTTAAATAAATGAAAGGTGGGAGAACCTTGCATACGTTTGACAAGAGTGTTGGGTACTCTTGATTTTAGGCATACTGCTCTTGCAACACGTAAGTCTCCGGTTATTCATCTAATGAAATTTTGCACATATTAATTATTTACTCTCCAGTTAGATGTAATATTAGTTACCAACATATCATCTGACAAGTATATCCAATAGCCATAGTTAAGATATCACTTTAATTAAGAATCCTCGATCAGTATACAAACCCAACTAAATTAGGTCTCTTTAAATATCCTATTTCAATTGCAGTTACTCTTCTCTTATAGTGTTCTATAAACAAATTCATCCCCAAAAAAAAGTAATACAGAAGGGATCCAAGACACCACGGTAATTTTATTTATTTATTTTCTTGATTAAAAACACACTTACACACCCACTTCATTCATACGAGCGCTTCGAATCCTCCACCATCTACTTTGGAAGACACTAAAGTACTAAGTCGTAAGTTGGGTTACACTGTTTTGATATTTTATTTGTCTTGACTTAATATTATTCCCATCCAAAACTAGTGCTTGATAAACTGTGTTTTTATGAGACCATCAACAAATGGAAAAATGAAACGTGCTTAATATCCGAATTTCTAACGGTGATCAATAAAATTCTTTTACTTCACCATGGCACCATTGTGAAATTTGTTCTCTACATCCCAAAGGGTTTTGATTAGAGCCCAGATATTAATCAGTGGATACTATTTTTGTCAAGAAATGGCATCAAAGAACTCTCTTTATATAATTCTAATGCCAATCGCAGTCCCTATCAACTGCCTTCTTATCTTTTCTCTTGTCCATAATTAACCAAGTTGGAGCTATACAAATGTGTCTTCAAGCCACCGCATCTTTTTTCTGGAGACTTTCGCAATCTAGTTAGCCTTCAGCTGAAGAGAATTTCATTTGATGCCATTCATTCGGAACTTTAGTTGTTAAAGCCCCGTTGCTTCTGCGATTGAAGTTTTCTACCTGCAAAGGTATTTGTTGTGAGATTTATATGTACCACTCGCAAATGCATGAATCTTTGCAGATAGGGCTTACTTGTAAGGGTGTCGTACCCAAGGGACTTGAATTATGCCTTATGAAGTTGAAATAGCTGTTTATCCGAAAATGAATTATACAATGGAAGAGTGTTTTCTAGCCCAAGATATGCATACTTCAAACGAGAAGGTAACGACTTCAGCTCTAGCTCTGATGGAGACTTCAAAGATGGCGTAGGTGGTTCACTTGACAACTGTGGAAGTGGCTCAATAGGAATTTTCTATGGTGGAATGTTATGCATATTGGCCCCATCAAGAATGGCATTCACCTCTTCAATACTTTTGTCGACATCAAAAGACTCGGTGTCAAAGTGAGATATGCATACTTCCAGTGGATCTTGTTAAAGCAAATGGGGCCATCTCTTCAACATATTCATCGATGGTATCGATAAGAAAACAATCCTTATCATCTGAAGGGCATTGACTGGCATTGAAAATATTTAAGCGTACTTTCATATTGCCAAAAGATAAGTCCACGACGCCATTCCTACAATTTATGCTTGCATTTGCTGTTGCAAGGAAAGGACGACCAATGATCACTAGAATGTGCCTCTTTGACTCTGGAATTAGCTCGGTATCTACCACAATAAAGTCCACTGGGAAGTAAAATTTATTTACTTTGATGATTATATCTTCGATGATACCACGGGGTTGCTTGGTTGACTTATCTGCCAATTGGAGAATAATTGAGGTAGGTTTCAATTCTCCTAATCTAAGTTGCAAGTAAACCGAATAAGGAAGAAGGTTTACACTTGCATCCAAATCTAGGAGAACTCGCTCTACTTTATGATTCCCTATTGTGCATGAAATTGTTGGAGCGCTTGGATCTTTGAATTTTGGAGCAGTGCAGTGCTGGATTATAGAATTGACTTGCTCAGTTAGTAGCACCTTCTTAGGAACATGGCTATTTGAATGCCTCTTCTGAGTACACATATCTTTCAGAAATTTGGTGTAAGTTGAAATTTGGTGAATTGCATCAACCAATGGGAGATTAATCTTCACCTGTTTGAACATCTCTATTATGTCCTAAAGTTTGCTTACTTGATTCGCTGCCTTTGATGTTTCTTGTAGTTTCTGAGGGAATGGCACAACTACATGCCTCTGCTCAAGAGATGGCTCAGTAATTGGAGGTACTTCTTATGCTTTTTCATTACGCTCCTTTTTCTCTTCAAGTCTTTTCTTCTAATTTTCATTCTTCTTTGCTTCCTCTTCTTTCACCTTATTTTTAACTTTCTTACTACTTCTCAAAGTAGTAATTGATTGTACTTGTTCATGGTGGATTTCTTCGCCAGTAATGTCATCAATTATGCGCACACCTCTGCTACTGGTTGACTAGGAAGCTTGCCATCCTCTCTTCTGTTCAAGGCTTGAGCTAGTTAGCCAACTTGAGTCTCTAACTTGGCAAGGGATTGAGAATGAGACTACACAAGTTGATTAGTTGGCTCTAACTGTTTTGCCATCATTGCCTCGAGCATTGATAAGAATTGTTGAGGTTGACTGAAGGCATTCATAGGATTGATCCCTTGAGGATTTAAAGTCTGAACTAGAGATTGAAAATTACCTTGTACCTGAGGTACTTGAGGTAGAGGAACTGATGTCCCTGTGGTTGGATTTCTCCATGAGAAGTTTGGATGGTTTCTTCAAGCCGGATTGTAAGTGTTTGAAAACATATTACCTCTAGGTGTTTCATAGGCAGCATTAACTTGCTTTTGTGAAATTTCTGAATACTGAGCTTCACTTGGACAAATGGACACATAGTGAGTTGGACTGGAACAGAAAGAGCACACTTCAAAGCCTTGAGCATTAGTCGAAGGAAGAGTAAAATTTGACTGTGAAGTCATCAATTGATCCATCATCTTGGTTAATGCCTCAATTTGACTCACTAACCCTTTATTTATTCCTGCTTTACTCACACTTTCTACTCTCCTCAATATGGTATAAGGTCTTGCTACTGGAGGTAAAACATGTTGTGTAGAATTATCAGATATATTTTCGAAGAGCTGTCATGCTTCCTCTACATTTTTCAACATAAAATTTCCACCACAAGAGGCATCTACCATATATCTTTGTGCCTTATTGAGCCCCTTATGAAAAAAAATTGACAAGCTGCCATTTTGGCATGTCATGATAAGGACACTTCCGAATGAGGTCTCTGAATCTTTCCCAAGCCTCATGAAAAGGCTCATCGGGCCCTTTAGCAAAATGAGTAATAGCATCTCGATATTGAGTAGTTCTCACCATAGGGAAGTACTTGTTCAAAAACTTCTGTTGCAATTCAGTCCATGTAGTGATGGAGTCTGCTGGTAATGAATTAAACCAATCATTCGCCTTGTCCTTTAATGAAAAGGAGAAAAGGTGTAGCTTGAGCACATAATCGTCAAAGTTCTGGATCTTTATTGTTCTGCACACCTCTGCAAAGTCATCCAAGTGCCGGTATGGATCCTCTTTTGATAGGCCGTAAAAAGAAGGCCGTAACTGAAGAATACTGCCTTAATTTTGTAGTGAGGGCCCTTACTTGAGGATACTGAACTGCCGATGAAGAGTTGTATGCACCTGGTTCGTCGTGATCCTTTAAACAGTAAACTGCTTCTGCGGCTAGTGGATCTTCCGTCATCTTTTCCTTTTTAAGGCCTCCAAAATCTTTCTTCAAGTTTCTGAGAGTCCTTTTGATTTCTGGGTCTAACGGAAGCTGAGGGAGTGACAAAGAACGTCTTCCAAGCATATAATGTCACCTACAATAATTAAAAGAAAAACAGTATCAAAATAAAGAAATAAAATAAAATAAATTAAAATCCTAAACTAAGATCCTAGTTGAAATTAATTGTAGAATTTAATATTATTTGTTAAGAACTAAAACAAGTCCCCGGCAACGGCGCCAAAACTTGTTGTGAGATTTATATGTACCACTCGCAAGTGCACGAATCTTTGCGGATAGGGTTTACTTGTAAGGGTGTCGTACCCAAGGGACTTGTGTAAAATAAGTTTGTCAACAGATTTCTTAAATTCCAAATTAACTTGAAAGTAGGATAATCGAATTGTGATGATTAATTCTAAATTAACTAAGTCGAAGAATAATCTAAAGAACAATGATTAAATAGGATGTAGAAAACAGAGAGAGAGAACTAGGGGTATGATTTCATCACTAACGTCGCACCACCAGTCAATTGCATCAATTTATTGGAGATATATCATATAACATGCATAGGGAATTAATCATGGCTACAAGCGCATATTAATTAAGCTAGAAAAATGATATAATTTAAAGCTAAGTATGGACTATCTTCGATTGGTATAAACCATCTACCTAACAACTATACTCTAGGGTGTAGCATGGTCAATCTTTTCTAGGCATAATCCATCAAATCTCTAACATCATATTCAGAGAAATACCATTGTGTAATCATCTCATTCACATCTACAAGAAGTGAATGATTTGTGTTCAATCACAAGATTAACATATCTAAGACAAGATAGAAAAATATTTGTAGTTGAATTAAAACTCTAAAACTGATTCTTACTGAAAATTCAATAAAAAACCCTATAGATTACACAATCATGCATGATAAAAATTATTCTCCAATAATTAAATACAATCAAATTAGTGTGCTAAGTTAGGGCTACATCCCAACCCTAACAAAGCGTTTAGCCAAGCATGACTGGAATGGAATTCTTCATAGTTAAGGAAGACATCTTCACCGCCATGGATTGATCTCTTCTTTCTTCTGAATACTTCTCCTCTGATCTCAGCCTCAAGCTCCTCTGTATCATAATTCGATGTTGTAGAGGACTCCCTTTAAGTAATAAAAGATCAGCCCTAAAGTTCCCTTTTTCATATAGAAGACATATATAGAAATTCTGTCAAATAAGGACTCCAAAATTCATACAGACTTCCAACCCAATTTTGACAAGGTAAACAGCTACTTTATGGAATCCTCGTGAAATACAAAATTGTAGGTCTTCGAATTTTCTTTCAACTAACGCAAGAATTTAGCAAAACAGGTTTAAGTTATCAACTTTGGCGAAAGTTTCCTTTTTGGAGAAGGATTTTTCCTTTTCTTCTTCTTTCTATTCTCATTAACTTGTGGCTTCTTTTGGACTCTTTTCTAAGTATAATTAGACTTGGATCTTCAACATTGCTCAGTCCCACGGAATGTCATCTTTGAAAACTCAGAATCACTGGTCTTGACTGATTTTACAATTAAAGCCCTAAAATAAACAAAAACAATAAAACAATGTAAAATCACAAATAAACTATTATTCAGAGAATAAAACATGCAAGTAAAAGGGCTAAAATGTATAACATTCAGTGCCTAACAGTATTGCCCATTTCAAAGTAAATGCCCCGAAGCTAGAAGTTCTACATGTCTCAAAATGCCATGGAGTTGAATTGATGTGCTTTACAAGCCTCCCGAACCTGAAATTAGTTACCATTACACAGTGCAAAGAACTACAAATTTCCGGGCAGGGGAAGAGCTTCAATTTGATCAACTTTTTTGATGATTTGTCTAGAATTCGCAGTATTGTTTTCGATGGCTATTTCCTTAAGGTGAGATATAGTCATCTTGTTGATCTGGTTCATAAGTCTTAATTGTAGGTCATATCTTATTTTAGTACTTATATTTTCTTCCTGTATTCTTCAAAAGTATTTGCAAATGACTTTTAACTACAAGAAAAATGACTTTTTACCACGGTGGAAAAGCCTTTCTACCACGGTTTTAAACCGTGGTAGAAACAGCCGTGGTAGAAAGTCGTTCTTTCTACCACAGTTCCCCACCGTGGTAGAAAGTTTATTTTCTACCACGCTGCAAAACTGTGGAAGAAAGTTTATTTTCTACCACGGTGAAAAACCGCAGTAGAAAAGTAAACTTTCTATCACAGTGCATAACCGTGGTAGAAAGTATTATATATATATATATATATATATATATATATATATATTTAAAATAATAGTTTAGCCCTTATGAAGGTTTATATATATATATATATATATATATATATACTACTACTACTACTACTACTAGTCTTACAAAACCCTAAATAAAAAAATAAAAAAAAATAGAATCATAACCAAAATAATTTACAACTCATATATATATAACCAATTCTAAATCATTATTTTATACAAAAATTAACCATCTATAAATTTAAAAGAAGTACATGATCCACACCTTATATATTTTACTTAACCAAAATAAAACAAAAATTCTTCATATCTTCTTACAACTTCTTCTCCATGAACCATACAAAAAAATATAGCGGCAACAAAAAAAGTAACTGCACCCGCAACCCGCAATCATAGCTTTGACCTACAAAGATAGTTGAAGTAAGAGAATTAATGTAAAGCAAGTTGTAAAGTTGCCAAAATTAAACCAAGCAAAGAAAGCATTATAATAAAAGTACTTTGAAAGATCTACTCTTCGTCTTAACTCAAGCAAAGTAAGTATTGATCTTGTCACATCCTACCATTGGCGCGTTCTTGACATACTGTGGTTGGAATTCGACGCTGGAAAGAGTATGCGGCAGCGTGCCAATGATAACATGGCCCTTCTTTGGCGAGCAGTTTTTGAATGAGAAGTTTGTTGTAGGAGGTATTGGAGATTGGTGTGAGTGTTTGGGCTAAGGCTGTTGTGCACTTGGGTGAAGAACACAAGTGTGGAGTGTTGGTGAAGAGGGAGGAAATTAGGGTGGGTGTGGAGAGAGTAATGAGTGAAGGAAAATGAGAAGAGAGAAGGAAAAGAGCAAAAGAGCTTGGGGAGATGGCAAACAGGGCAATAGAAGAAGCATCTCAACATCACTATGCTAATCCAGGACATAATTCAACAAGCAACAAATGGGTCATCTTGTTAATTTTATGGCTCTGTTTTGCTTCAAATACTTAGCTAGAGTAGTTTGATTTTTTTTTTTCTTTTTTTTTTTTTTAAAGCCAAAAACTAGCTCAAATGCAAATAGAAGGAAATAATCAGTAAGCATATCTAAGATAAGATCCAGTAAACACTATTGTCATCCACTTGTATTCCTTAGTCTAATGAACTTTTTTTGATTCATATAATATTGCTCTTAAAAGAACATAAGAAAAGAGTAATTTTACTTCCACTTATGAAAGTAGATGTTGTGGATTGTGATCACTTGTTATTGGTGCACTGGTAACTGCACTCTCTCTAATTTGAGACTTGATATGCGAGAATGAACAGGACTTCCCATTCTTGATTCGCAATAAAGGACGGGCAATGGGGCTAAGGTATAGTAGTTTGTGCCAGAACCATGATCAGCCTTGAGGAACAGGGATGTTCCAAATGCTTCTATTCCTCAGAAGATAGGTTTTGCACCAATGGGCCAGATGTTATCCGAATTGGGTTAAAGAGAGTCCAAAGACTAGTTGAAATCCACATTTTACTGACTAGTTTTTCCTTACTTTGAGTTTGAACCTAAAAATTGGTTGTATAATCTTTTATGTAGACAATCTTTTCACCAAAACATTAATTGATACGCAACTAAAAAAGATGGTCTACCCTATATGATTAATGTGGAAAACTTAGAAATACAAGGTTGTTGTAAAAGACAACATAAAATTCCTGCACTGGCCTTCTTTCTGGGAAGATTGCCTAATCTAAAGACGTTGAGTGTGAGCTGCATATACTACATTGAATTAACATACAAATCAACAACACCAGTATCTGATTTAGATTACTGGGAATCTCAAGAACTTGAATTTCTACTTTTTATGAAGACAACAAAGATTAAGATTACAAAAGAGGAATCTGAAATTGGACTCTATAATATTTGATAAAGCATACAAAATCACAAGAGAAGATGATAGTTATTTTATCCCAAAAGGAAATTGGGAGAGCAGTTGATCAGATTATGGAAAAGTTAATAAGATTCAGTAAGAGTTTCAATGAAGGAGCACTACATTTTGTGTTAAAATAAGAAGCTAATATTTGAAACTAGAGAATTGGATTCTTGAGGAGCTGAGCTGAGCTGACCTAATTGACTGAGAAATAGCTTATGAACGTGATTTGTTGATACTTTTTTTTTTTAAAGCTTATTAATGCAAGTGGGCTTCAGAATTCGGATATATATGCAAGTAATGAAATTCCATGTAACAGGTAATATGATCAAGTTCAGGCCAGGTGATTTGACACAGATCAAGTCCAATATGCCACTCAAAATGCTCATAACTAACACCAAAGTTGGGAGGAATACAAAGGCATTAGTTGCTGGTGTTTCAGAGAGGACTCTCAGGCATCCAAAAGCTATGGCAGCTGTATTTACTGCTGTTGATTCTAGTAGCAATGAACTGGCTACTATTATCCAGTCTCATGTTCTTGATGACCTTGCTATAACTGAGAAGGAAGAGAAATTAGAAGAATTAATGGAAATGAACCAAGGGTTGCTTCAATGTATGGGGGTTAGCCATTCTTCAATAGAAACTGTGCTTCGAACAACGTTGAAGTACAAATTAGTTACCAAGCTGACAGGAGCTAGTGGTGGAGGTTGTGTTTTGACATTATTACCGACCCGTATCCATTTCATTATTCTGATTTTTAACTGTGCCTTCATTATATATATATTAATTATTCTATCTTCCATATTTTGAATATCCTGTGATTCCAAATCCAGAATTACCTTTAAAAAGTAAATGGGTGTTTTAAGATGGATTGTTTCTCGCGTGACTAAAAGTTAATAATTTCTGCATAAGTGCATGTATGGTTGAAATGATTCTATGCAACAAAAAGATAGAAATAATAGTAAATGGCATACTAAATAAGAAGGATGTTCATACTAAATAATTTTTGCCTCCTATAATACAATCTTGAAACTATGTAGGCACATCGTTTGCATGAAAAATGGCATCCTGATTTTGTTTATTCAATTTCGAGCATTTTTTATTGCGAAGATATGATAGTTGACAATAAATGGGCATCCTAGTTAGTAAAGTTATGGAAAAAGCAGCTATATTATTTTGCATGATTAGTAGCCAATTCCATGAAGTTTACCTGGTTGTATTTCTATCATCATCCTTTAAAGTGCATAAATTAGGTACTTTAGGATTGAATTGTTATATTTATGACTTCTATCTATTTTTATATTTAAATAGCTTCAATTGTTGATCTTTGTGGCATAAGTCCAAATTGATTGTTGACACTATAATTTCACACCTTAGTTTTTTTGGTTGCCAAAAAAAGGGGTGAATGTTAGGTGTTGCAAGGTCATACAAGCATTGAAAATCTAGGGGCAAGCCTGTCTCTACATTCAGATGCAACTAATTGGTTATATCAAACCTGTCTCTTTTTTTTCTTTTTCCCCCTTGGACATCTATGGAATTTATAGATTTGTGAGTTAGGTACTTTTGTAAACCTAATTTAATTCTTATTAGGTCTTCTAGTTTATGGCTTTTTCTGTTTTTTGTTATTTGGAATCCATATTGTTCACAAGCATCGGCGAGGGACTTGAAGACTTGGGACCGGTTTGGACCTTGCAATTCAGCAAAATCAATGATGGGCAACTTGAGATTAAGCTGAGACTGGTATGGTTTTCCTTTGAATGAAAACCTCCAGCTCTAGCTCCACAGAAGAGGACACAACCTACCTTGGAAGCTAAAGCATAAAACTACAAAAGAAGTTAAGAGGAAGGTGTATTTGTGAGAAGTGGACACAATCAAGAAGCACTACTCAAGAAAGCATGGTGAGAAAAAGTACAAGTGTGAGAAGTGTTCAAAGAGATATGCGGTTCAATCTGACTGGAAAGCCCATTCTAAAACATGTGGTACTAGAGAATACAGATGTGACTATAGCACTCTTTTTTCAAGGTAATTAATCCACCTCATTTTTTCTTACATCAATCATATGCATATAATATGAATAACAACTAATACATAAAAAAAATTTAAGTTGCCAACTTGCATTAACTCCTTAAATAACATATCAACAACTTCTCCTCCACAACAATCAATCAAAACCTCCACATACGATGATCCCATACTCCCATGCTTTCAATATTTTTAAGCATGAAATAAAAATGGCCTCCACACGGGCCGATGTACCAATAAGATAATAAAGTTCAAGATACACCACAAAATTGGTCACTTAAAGGCATGTGACCCCCCTGAGTATGAGTATAAAAAGTATTAAAAATGTGCAATCATAAAAGAATTTTATCGAACATAAAAATCATATAACTTACAAATTTTAATGTACTTGATAGGTCATGTAATCGACGCTCCCGTTGTTGTCTTTTCCCAGCCCCTTTGGAAGACTACATTTCAAGTACATGGCAAGTGAAAAATAAAAATAAATAAAAAATAAAAAATAAATAAAATTGGGATAACACTAGTAACCAAAAGCAAGATTCTAAACTCTAAGAATCTTAAGAACTTCTTCGACCTAAAGAGTTAGAAAGGGACATGGTATGAGAAACCCAACTCTTAAAATAGTGCAACAAGATCTATATTTTTCTTGTATAAGAAAGATTCATTTTGAGTTTATTGAAATGATGTCCACTCTATAACATGCCAACAACAAAAATATTACTCCTACATACTCACTAATGCAATACTTAGCATACCATATGACGGATATATTACATCATCAATTAGTAGCCGTCTAATTCAAATTAACAATTTTGATCAGCACAAGGTGAGGCCAGAGGAGAACCTAATTCCAGCCATGTTTGAACCCTTCATATTGCACTCTGGGATTGGGATTGGGATTGGGATTGGGACCCAAGTCCAATGTCTCCTCACTATATCATAACATAGCCATATTATATCCCATATTCCCTCAAAATTAGACATCAGAATAGCCCTAATCTTTCCATCTCGCTCCTCCAAACACCCAACTATAACTCCATAGGGCTTCTTTATCTTCTCAATTACTCCAGGAGGGGCCTGAAGTGGACTTTTTGTTTTAAATCCATTAATGTTGCATTTGAGTACTTTGGAAGCATTGAATTAACATCTTTGAGATTAAAATTGGAGGAAAAAACAGTTTAAACTGGAAGGGGATTGAAATGGATTCTTTTTTTAATAAATTAAAAAAAAAAAATCATATTTAAACTATTTTTTGTCCAAATTCAAAGGTTCACTGACCGGTCCTTTACAAGGGTCGCGATACCAAGTCAAGCTTGAAGAGTTGTGAATTTAGGAGGTGGCCAAGTTTTACATTTATAGAAAGCCACTACTACCTTTCTCTATATAAAATATAGATAGGGTGAGTAGGGATCGTCCCAAGGGATTATACGTGTTGGAATTTCAACTTCGACTCTAGCGTACCAAATGATTGCAAAAGAGAATTGGGTTGGTTGATTATACTAAATGAGCTAAACTATAATAAAGCAATGCAATAAGATAAAGAGTAAGTAAGAAGGAAAGGTCTTGGGGTGTAGAGATCACCACCAAACAATACTATTCCAAACCATAATCAAGTGACTAATGAGGGAAATGAATGTGTTGCAACAATGTTGTGTGTGTGTAAAAGACATTCAATTGGTAAGGGTGACTCAACAAGTGCAAATTGTCTCAATCAACATGTGTGAGACCACAATACATCTATTGGTAGAGGAATATATTGTCTAAACATCATGTGAAGATAACAAAATAACAATTCAAGTCATTGAACCTTTCATTAAGCTCATAGTCCAAGCAATCCATAAGGATGATTTAGTTAAACATGCATTATCTAAACATCATGTGAGAGGTACAAAATATCTATTGGGAGAGGAATAAATTGTCTAAACACATGTGAAAGATACAACATATCATAACTAGTCATTAATCCTTCATTAAGCTCAAAATCCACATGCAACACAATATTAGAGGAATATGCCATTTGGACTCACAAGCATAGAACATCAAACATCAAGAGTAGATTGTCCTCCCATCTAACATTACACTATCACTACACTAAATCTACACTACTAGCATGAAAATAAAGCTATCTAGACTAGGGGAGAGGCACAAACCATCAAGAATAGGCATAAACCATCAAATGAACCAAAATAGCATTCATTAAGCATATCATCTTGATAATCTCTAGATCTATAGCATCAATACACATAGACATGCATCAAAAATACTAAATCTAAGGATAAGCACATGAATATCCTACTCTAGCATACATAGACATATGGATAGAATAGAATAGTCAATTAGAAGCATTAAACCATACAAACCATGAAATAATCAAGATTTATATATACATGAATATCAAGATGTATCATACGACACTAATCCCTCAATAATACACAAGATTAGAGTATAGAAAGCATGCTTGGGGCTAACTCTAGCCCCAAGAGGATGTCTAGCCACTCATGATAGTGATGATCCAACCCTCAAGGGCTAACTCTATGGCTGCTCTTTGTTGGTGAAGATCTCCTCCAATGGTGCTCTAGCTTCCTCCCTTCTTCCTCTCCAAGAATAGCCTTTAAGATGATTTTCAATGTGTGACAAGAGACTTCTTTTTTCAAAAAGTGTATCATATTCCTTATATAGGTAGGTCAAATACACCCCATGATGAGCTGTAGTCGTGCAAGGCATATTCTCCAATGATTGGATGAAGGACGGAATAAATGAGCTGGATTTTAACTTTTTCTCGCTGGAGAAAGTTCGATCGATCGAACCTTAACTTGGATCGATTGAAAATGGGTTCGATCGATCGAACTGCATCTTGGATCGATCGAAGTGGTCTGACTCCTCCGGATAATGACAAGGCTGGGATATTTTCAAGATATTTATAGGGAAAAAGACAAAAGTGGTTGGTAGGCGTACAGCTGTGGATAAGATCAATCATTTGAATAGGACAAAATAGGGTTCGATCGATCGAAGGTGATGTTGGATCGATCGAACTTGGAATTTCAGCAAAGGCCAAGGTTGGATCTATCGAGAAGTACTGTGATCGATCATAGATGTTCGATCGATCGAACTCTAAATTGGATCGATCGAACTTTTCAGCTGCATAACTTGATTCCTTTTTGCTCATTTCTTTCTCCACTTTGCTCCTTCCTTTGGTTTATCTCAGGATTGCTTCAATTAAGCTCTTATTTGGCTGAGTTAGCTCAATTTTGGGATTAGTGCCTGAAAATATAAATAACACGTAATAAGTCTAAAACGGTAAAGTAAGATAGATAAAGGTACTAGAATACTTAAGTTTAACGGGTTTAAATGCGCACTTTTCAGTGCTCATCATTCGCTATTCCTAAACATAACATAATTGTATTTGAGGAAGAGTCTATACAAATAAATCTTCTCCTATGATCGTTTTCAATTTCCTACTTATGCCAGATAAGCTCGAAGAAATCTTGTAGTGGATTGGCAATTGGACCTCAAGGGGCTTTAACGTTGAGGAATGACTTATTTTACTGGATACATGTCGATACCACAGGGTTGTGTGTGTCAGGTAAACACAGGAATTTTTGTGAGAGATTAGAGAATAAATCACCTTGGAGGAAAAGTGACCTAAAATTTGTCATTTAGGAAAATTTGGTTTTGTTTTAGGGGTACCAATTCATAAGCATAACTCAGAAATTGGTCCTGAAGACTCTGTTTGGAAGCTTTCTATGCATGTACCAGAAAAGAGTGTTACCATAGAAACCTGGACTCCGTTTATTGGTCATTAGAAAGTCAACCTAGATTACCAAACTAGAAGAATGGCTGAACAATAGACTAGAGAACTGAAACTTGGTCCCAAGTGTCCTACAAATTGGTGACTTCAGCAAACTTCAGTCTCTGCTAGTCTAAAATTACTACTTTAACTATGAGGCTCGACTCATTTTACCGGATACGTCTGTACCACCACACTTTTCCCCTTGGAGGAAAACTGACCTGAAACTTGTCATGAGGACTGTAGGAAGTAGTAAGTAATTTGGTTTCGTTCTAGGGTTACCAATTCACAAGCACATCTCAGAGATTGGTTATGAAAACACTGTTTTGAAACTTCTATGCATGTATTAGAAGACAGTTTTAACATAGAAACCTGGACTCCATTTATTCAGTAGAAAGTTTACCTAGATTACCAAACTAGAAGAATGGCTGAAAAATAGACTAGAGACTTGGGTCCCAGGTCTCCTACAAATTGGTGACTAGTAAACTTCAGGCTCGGTTACGGACTAAAAGTTGCTAATTTCTGCAGCAGTACAAGTAA